AAGTGTGATGCTAGTCATTGTGGATGCAGCGTTAGTAAACCTGCCTATGCTGATATTGAAATGATTTCAAAATTTACCGAAGAATGTGTAGCCCAGCCAACTAAAGCGAATGACATGTCAGCCTTGTGAAGTCTAATTAAATATCATGCAATTCCCATGATACTATTCATTAGTTTATTAGTCTGTCTATTTATAGTGCTTTTGTTATGTACTTTTGGATTTTTTCATAACAAGATAAACATATAAGTCTGGGTCAATTATCCAATTCAAGTCAGGACTGATGTTTATTGCAAATTGTGTCCTGGGTGAAGATACAGAGCCGGAATGTGGGGTTAAAATTGATCTGCCATTGATAGGCCTCTAAGCCAGCAACAGATGCAGTCTCAGTGGCAAAAAAGTATTTAGGTAACGCAGAGACAGCATTGCAGAAAAGGCCATAGTGACTCAGCTGATTTCACAAGAGTGACTTATTATGTATGAGCAAAATGTACTTGGTTAAATAAGAAATGTAAATATGATTTTTATATTAAATACCAAGACATGCCCATTGTTGTTTAAATGGCAAAGGAAAGTCGTCACCAGTTTGTTCACAGTGTAGTGACATAGAGAGCTAAAAGTTGCAGACTGCATAATGCATATCCGGCTCATTATACTTGCACACAACATTTGTAGAGAATTTGGGGTTTGATGCAGTGTTTGGATTGTATATTTACTTGATGACTACTTAAACATCTAATCTAGTTCAGTTTCTCTGTCGTTACAAAATAAACATGACGTCAAAACATCCTGTTGTGAAGCTTAAATCCCCACCAAAAATGATGCAATTCCAGACAGGATATCAGAGGATGGCCAAGATATTGGAAGTCTGGGACTGTTCAGACAGGAGAGGTCAATGAAGGCTGCAGGCTCTTTTTTTTTCTAAATATCAGCAGTTTTTCTTCATAAGGAGGTTCTATGCAACATTTGGTATGTCATTATTCCTATTTTTACGGTTTATTTTTTTAAAATTTTTTTTATTGCTGCACTCATTATTATTCTCTTTATTTGTCGAATGTCACTCTAGCTGCTTCTTTTGGTTTCTGCACCCCCCTCCACTGGGTGATGTATGAGTGGTTAGCTTTGACGTCAGGTCCAACGTCATAGCAACTCGCTGCTCCCAGGCTTGCTCTTTCTGGTGCTTCTTTTCACAGCATTCTTTCTATTCATTTTCTCCTGCGTCAGCTCATCTTTTCGTTTGCGTTTTCAGTATGTATTGATCTGTGATATCGCCTCCTTTCTTCCCGTATGTTTATGTTAGAAAACCTCTGCCGTAGCTTCTTTTCGCCCTTCCAGAGCATTCTCTTCATGGTTGGTGGCCCATTTGTGCTGTTTCCTGATGCCATGGTTTCAGTAGATTGTCACCGTCTCCCTTTTGTTGCTTTACAAGGCCAGAAGACCAGTCACTAACCTTTATTTGTCAGACAAGTTGCCCGTGGCTTTGACAGAAATAGATATAAGAAGAGCAGTATGAAAGTGAATTATCAGTCAACTTTGACTTCCAGAAAGCTTGGGAAAATTTCATTGGACTTGACAAGACGTGAAGCTGACCCACTTTCTGCTTTGCACTCTCGCTGCCTCTGTTCTTATCTTGCTGCTACTGCTGCCTGTGGTCAGTCTGTCAACTTTTTGAGTTGGTGCAGTATGGAGAGAGGGATGCTGGTTGAGGCAGAGATCACGCTTTGCTTGAAACAATGCATAAATTCTCTTGTCAGCAACTGGGATGCATCTCCTCCAAGAGCTGCCCTGTATGGATCAAGCTGATGCGCTTTACAGTAACTTTGAGTCACGTTTGTTTCATTGCGGCAAGAGATTGACAATGAGAAGGAACTGAGAAGTTTAAAACCTGAGCTCGTCTTTTCACAGGAATTCAGTTTAAGAAATAAAAGTCCTCATATATGGTGACAGTCAATGTAACAACAAAGATTTGCCTATGCCATTTCTTCACATAGGTCACCTTCATCCTTGAGGCACACAAAAGGCGATATTTCAGTAGAAAATTGTAGAAACTATCTGAATATTATTAAAAACAGTTTTAATTAAGGATCACCCCAACGTTGTAGAATTACCATTATTGTAGTAACTTGCTGTTCCAAACACCTGCATGAAGACACGTAATTCTTCAAAACATCTGTATGAAAATAATTCTCTGTTTATTCCCTTTGGAGAATAATTTTGTTAATTAGCTATACACAAAGCAGCTACGGTTTGGCTCATGAACCACATAAAAACGAAATGATGTTCTTTACAGGAATAGTAAATTCCCGTAATTTCTTCCAATAATCCTGCAAAAAAATGTTTTGAATGTTGTTCAGTGTCAAAAGCTAGTGGTGCAAGGACAGCCCACAGAAATCAAAATGATGTTATTTTCCATGGCATGAAATCTAGTGAAAAACACACTGCCAGAGGAAACAAGTGCTCACAGAAAATGCTTTTCTGACACAGCATGTTTAAACAACTACATAGTGCCGCAGGTTTACAAATGCAGATGTAAAAGCTTTCATGTCCTGGATAAAGACTGAATTACCATCGGATATTGAGAGCACAAGTGGCTTTCATCTGAATAACACAGGCAGGCATTGTTTGGAGGGAGTGGTGCGTCTCTGGCCATGACCATTTTAGGGCAATAACCAGATCAATTAGTCCCGTGTAATTAATAAATGTTAACTTTCAAATCATCAATACATTATTGTCTGTTTTCTTTTTTTCTAATTATTTTATGTGATTAAAATTCTAGTTGTGGAATTCCACAGTTTAACCTGCATTATCAGGACTCTGATCATTTAAAAAGCACTGGGAAAAGTTGGCTCTCCTTTTTCGGTGTTATGCATATGTTTTGCTAAATGTTTTCATGGCCACACTCGTGTCAGTGTATATGAGGCCTTCATATTGCGATGCTTGTGGGCGAAAAGCTGGCTCCTTCAATCAGAAGGGAAAATGAGCTGTTTAAAAAGCACAATCTAAAATCCTTTCTTCTGTCTTCCCAAGGCCAGGGAAGATTTAGTTGCCCGGCAACATTAGACCAAAATTCTTCAAATAAGACACTTTGAGTTTGGTGGTCCGCGCTGATTTTAGATCCCCAGAAATTTGACTGACACCTAACCATAGACGCACAATATCACCGTATCAGTATATTAATATTGTTTTTCTTAGTCATACATGGTTTGTTTCCAGCGCTGCATGAGGTTGCTGTGCAGTGTTGTTGTGGATGTAGAGTACAGCTTTACTGTTTGTTATGTATTTGCAGAGGGACCTAACACGCCACACAGATGATTCCACACTTCACAGCTTGGTACATGAGGCTAAAGCCTCTCTGATAGTGGCTGATGGAACACAGGGGAAGTGACCTCTGACCATTATTTTGTAGTTAATGTCATTTTTCACACTAGTAGTTAAAAAAAAACAACACCTTTTAGATGTTTGTCTTGTAAATTCCAGAGAGGCCCTCTCATCATGGTAATAAGATATGTGTTACGATATTACTGCACGTTTCAAACTGTACAGCAGCTTGATATCTCTGAAGGGGGATTAAGAGTAGTCGTTCACTTATGGAAATCATTACTGCTCCATCCTGAGCCATAGTGGTGAGCAGAAGTGCTGACCTGAGGTTACTACACCTCGCCTCATGATTGCCACCCCCACACCTCTGTTCTGACACTCAAGGGAAACATGAATGGATATAATCTGTTCATTCACCAATTCACTGTCCTCAAAATGGAAAACGCATTAGTCTCTGTCGGCCCCCTTTCTTTTGCTCTTTCTTTCTTGTCCTTTCTTCGGTCCTCCTACCTTTTTGTCTTCTGGCCCTGCATCTTTTATCGTAATAGTCAATATCACCTTAACAGTATCCTCTCCTTCCCCCATTTTTTAGCCTCTGTGCTGTTATTTTCTCGTCGGCTCACAGCACCCACCTCTACTCGATTCAATCTGGCGATTTTCTTTTTTTTTTTCTTTTTTTTTTGTCTTATAATTAAATATCGCACCTGTCTTTTTTTATTTTCTTCACCTCATAGTTGTTTTTTCGCAAGTTGTTCTTCCAGTGTCCACCCTTTTGTCTTTAACTCTCTAGATGCAAACCTCTTCTTTAACACACATATATTTATTCAGTACCTTTAAAGCACATTTTGCTTCATTGCAGAATATCAGGCATATTTGTTCTGAGGCTTGAACTGGTTGATATGAAATCCTTCCTTGGTTAAACTTCCCCCCACAGTGTATGGTGTATAATTAGATGCTTTATAGAAATATCAATGAAACAGGAGAAAAATAAGTTTGAGGTCTGTTGGTAAACAATCAAAAAATCACAGTGGGTAAATGTTCACACTAGTGAATATTCAGGTTACTGAAGTGAAATTTCATCAGATTCCTCAATATTCATAACTTAAAATGGTAAATTGTTGTATTTTGGACTCTTTCATTTTAATTCATTAAGCCTTCCTATATCATTTTACATACCGGTAATCGTCAGCTATTTTACATTCATTCTCAAATGCTAAAAACAACAGGAATTCTATAAATGATATAAAAGAGTTAAAAGGTATCAAAAGGTAACACCAACTCTTTCTGCACTCAGATCTTAAAAAAGGTTTCTCCATGGATGTGGGCAGTAATTGCAAAGACTCCCCATCCTTGATTATTACCTTAGGTATAATTAAAGACTCTTCTAAAAGACCAGAGAGTTCTCAGGGGTTCATTGAATAAAAGTCAATCTGGTAAATAGACTGGACCAGGACCATTAACAGGTTTAGAAACCAACAAAAGAAAATCAAAATCGACGATAATTTGAGCGCTTATTCTAGTTTTAGCCCTCATTCATGTTGTGACATCTTAAAGCAGTTTTACTGATGTATTTTTCTTAGTGAGACCAAAAAGGAAAGCATCATGAATCTCAATATTTCTTGTAATAAAAGGTTTGGTGAAGACATTTCCTCTTTGAAATGCGATCCTTGACTCAGATCGTCCAGGTTTGGTCGTCCAGGTGTAGAGTGCTACTGTCAACATGAGACTGGAGCAGCCGTCATCCAGCTACAGTTTCTCATCAACGAGGTAGGTTACACAGACCGAGAGAAATTAGCCTGTGTGTTTAGGATGTGCAAAACGATGTTCAAACAATGAAACACAATGCAAGTAGATGGGTCTGGCATTTGTAATGTTCTTTTTCTTCTGATTACTTCGCACATATTTTGGTGTTTAAGACTGTCAGTTGAGTGAAGACACTGAGAGCCTTGTTGCATTTTAAGACTTCTAACGTTAGAAATTTGCGTAGAGAATGACTAATGTTATTGTAGAAAAAGACACTAGGCAACACACAACTTATTTCAAACAGATACTGTATATTTCACAGTTCAGTTTATCTCGCCTCACTCACTGGCTTATGAAGATAGCCTGTTTGTATATACCTTGTCTGTATTGTCCGTATTTCATGTTAAGCTACAAGGAAGAAAAATTAGAAAGAGTGTTCTTCTTAGAATATTTGAAGACCTTAAAATCAGTCACAGGTCTTCTTCAGGCCAAAGTTGCTTGAGGTAAAAATCCTGATTTAAGTTTTTGCTTCGTATTTGAGAGATGCAGTTTTTCATGCGTAACTGTGTATGTGTGTGTGTGTATGTACGTTCTCGTGCATGTGTGTAAGCGTCTGTATGACTGTGACTCAACAGCTAAAACAACCCCCTTGGGGAGATGAAGATGATTTTTAGTGCCTCCTACACGCACACGTACACTCTTATACGACTTATGAATCATCATCATTACCTGAGAGAACTGTCAGGGAATGCGGTGTGAGTAATGCACGTCTTCTTCACAGGAGGAAAATGTGCAGTTTAAAGACACGTTTGTGGAAATTTCAGTTTTTTTCAGATGTATTTGATGAAGTCACCTGTTTTTGCGTGATTACTTTTTGTTTTGTTAATCTTCATTTTGAATGATGATGAATTTTTGTTGTGCCTTTGCGGTGACAGGGAGCGCTGGTGAGTGCTTTGGCTGACGACAGTGTCCACCTGTGGAACCTGAGGCAGAAGAGACCAGCCATCCTTCACTCACTCAAGTTTAACAAAGAGAGGTAATCGGTTCTCACAAAAAACAAAAAAAAATTGAGAAGACAGTTGATGCTTTCACCCTGCTTTGTTTTCTTTGGTTGTTGTTTTGTTAGTCCTGTTTGTGCTAAATTAAACTCTCACACATGGCCTGTTGCAGCATGAGATGTGACTCAGAGCAGGGGCCATATCACAGTTAGCTGCCTGTGTCAGCTGTTGGTTTCTCCCTCGATTGTATGCAAACAGAAGGCATTTTCATTTAGCAAATGTGTTTATGCGCTGGGAAAACTGCACAGGGCAAGGGAGGAGACAGAGAGGCAAGTACTGCATTTCTACGATTCATTTAGTCTCTGGATGCTCTTTATGTTAGCCACATCCCCCATGTTTGAGGATTTCACATCCCTAAAGCAAAGTATCAGCCTTCCTAAACAGCTGAAGTTTACATGAGAAGCTTGTTCCACTCAAACTAACACATGGCCGTGGCAATTTGACCGACGTTGAACCAGACTCTATCCATAGCTCTACAAAATGAATCAATCCAAGGATAATGAAAACCCAACCTGATGAAACGATGAGAAAAAGACCAACAGGGCCTAAAGCCTGCCATGAATACAATGTAAACGTGAACCAAATCGTTTTCAGTATTATTGTGTTTTGATAAATGAAATCATTATCTCATTTGGGTAATTTTCTCTCCTGGTTGATCATGAATTTAATTTAATTAGGCTAAATTTAAAACATAAGATTAAGAACAATTTTATCTTTCATATAAGTGAAATAATTTTGTTTGGAAATATGGTCCAATATGGTTGAAGTGAGATGCTAGAGGGCATTTATGCTAATTCTAACTGGGTGGTTCTCTGCTCAGAGTTCAATTTCAAACTGTGTATGTCTCCATTGTTAAATCCTGTTTTAAAGCATGCTACACCTTTTTACAATGTCAGAAAACCATCGTACACTTAACTGGAACTACAAACTTGAAGATTTGGCTTTTCTCATGAAGTAAAAGCTATTTATGTTTAAAGAGACACGTGCAGAATCACCTTACCTTAAGGAAGTTTGCATCCACAGTCTTCTCTGATCACAAACGTTGTGACTACCCATCAGAACTGATCATATCATTCGCCAGCGATTTGCAACAATAAAAAGTCAGGAATGGGTTAAACGTCAGAACCAGTGATCTGTGACTGAGTTGATGTGACGGACAGGTGGCCAGCAGCAGCTTTTAGGGCGGATTGTGTTCTTGGTGAGGCGCTTGACCGCCTCTGACATTTAGTAAGCATTTTGAACGCAATGACCTCGAGTCACAGCGTCAGAGAAGAGCAGAGTTACAGCGGCTTAAGTGTTGTCAACATAGAAGACTAAGACTACAAAGTCTTTTGACACATTTTGAATCAAAGGAGGGAAAAAAGTTCAACAACAGTGAGGCAAAGGAAGTTTATTAGCCAGATGTACGAGAGAAGTGGGAGAGGGTATTCTGATGGACTTTATGGTCCATTCGTCCCGGTCTGCTGTCAGCCATCATCCGTACATAACGTGTAACGCATTGGGAAAAAAACATGTCAATAACTTAGCCTCATAAGACGTTATGACAAGTTGATATCAACAGTAGACATCAGACTGGCAAGAATTTGACTCCAGGGCTTTTCTGTCTCACATTTTATCCCCTCTAATAAAGTATTAGCATTCTCCCTTGATACTAAAGAAATGCATTGTCGATGGAGAAGAAATGTTATTTCTGTAATTCATAAAGTTGGTTGCCAAACTAAATGTTTTGAGTTCAACTAGAAAAATATATGCATCAGCTTTTTTGCAGAGCATTGCATCACTTGATGAGCACCACTACAGGATGTGCAGACACAAGACAGTCAGGCAGGGCTAGTGCAGATCCCAGGAGTGAATGTGAACGGAAAATGCTGCCTGAGCTTACAGTAGATCGGTATGACATTTTCTGTGGATGTGTCTCCTGATATGTCAGTGGATCTGAAACGGTGACAATTTGCCTGATGATTCGATAGCAAACTCAAATTCAGGAGATGTAGTGATGGGCACCATTTTTTTCTCCCAAGAAAGGTCAACATGGCCGATGCATGACATGTGAAAATAGTGACTGGACATAGTACGTAGCCCCAAATAGCTGTTAAATTGTGAAATCTGAGCTAAACTGAAGTGAGCTTGTAAATGGTATAGAAAGACCTATCAGTCCGATGAGAAATTTGAAACATTACAGAAATATTCATAGTATACTCATTTCAGGGTTCTGTTAACATAGGTAGTGCCAGTCTGGAAATGTTTTGAAGAGACACAAACTCTGGGCTTTCTCCACAGCTGGTGAGGGGAAAACTCAGAAGAGTACCTGAGTAGTTGAATGTGATTATCATTGTAATGTTTTCATATGTGGCTGAGCAAAATGTTTGTGTGAAACGGGGATAAACATAGGGATGGGTGTGCCAGTGCCCCCCACACATCTCTTCCAGCTCAGCCTAATGTTCTTCCTGTCTGCCCTTGAAAGTGTGAGATTGAATGGTCTACCATGGTCATTACTTCAATCTGCACTTATGTTGTTTTCTAGTGGCCCAGACACCAGTTCACAAGATGCCTGAGCCCAAAGGCATAATAGCATTGGAAAGAATTGGAAATGTGCAGCCCACCATGGTCGACTGGCCTTTTCCGTGTGCTGTATGTAAATCAGACATGGGACATATGCTTTTCCACCATCAGTTACAGAGCTTATTAAATTGTTTGATATATGTATGTGATATTCTCACTTGGATAATCTGGAGAATATGAATAAACTGTGATATAAATATTGGTATTTAAACATACATATCTGCCATCTGCAATGACAAAAAAAAAGATAAATAATCCCCCATATATTACTTGAGCAGGGGGTCCGTGTTTGTTTCCCACTTCTAACTTATTTCTTGTAAAAGTAATGTCTATGTATCACCAGTACCCATGTGAATGGGTAATGGAAATAGTCTTAACTGTGTGACCTTATAGGTTTAAAAAGGCATCTATAGTGTCAAAGAAGGGTGCTTTGTTGAGTTTTTTCTTCTTTTTTTAAAAAGTGGTCTATCGCTTTTTCTTTTACCATAACTGTCAAAAATAATAGCATGAAGTCATATTTCCTCCAAGTGTCATCTGCAGTTAAGAGAGATTTTTGAGAGGAAGAAAAAAATTGTTGATCATTTTAAACATGACAAGTGAGATCGGACAGATTGGTAAAACAAATAGAATATCCAACTGTCATTCTGTCCCATCTTGTTTAATCTTTTTGTCTGTGGGCCATCCTGGGCTGATTCTTCCAAGTAACCCTTTTTTCCATCCAATCCACCCCAAACTGCCCAAAATACAGCTAAAGACAGATTTTCTTTCACTTTTCAACTTTGCTGATGCCTAAAGTTGGCTGGGTTTAAATGTTGAAAATAGGATTTTTTAGAGGCTTCACAGTTTAATTCTCAATGATGATGGTTAATTTCCTGCAGCATGATGATGCTCCACACAGTCCACCTGTCTGATAAAAAGTTATCATTGTTTTTGTCATGCTTGCAGTGTTATAAGCAGCTGAATTAGGCTGCATTTCTGATGGTTGGCTACCATGGCAGCCAAGAAAGTGGAGGGGAGTGTAGATTCAGTAGGGGGCGGCGTACCTTTTGAATATGTGGTTTATTCTGTTGGAGGACATAATTAACTCAAACAACGTTGCGTTCGTGCCTTCTATCCAGCGAGTGTAGTTCCCCAAACTTATTAAAGAGTGCCAACAAAAGCTTTCCAGCTGCATCCTATCTAAGAACTTTGGGTTATCATAAACGGTGTGACAGTCAGCGCAGACATCGGCTGCCCATCATCCTCAGACCCATTTCAGTGCTCTATGCAGATCTTTCTATTCCGCCTCCTTGTTTTCTCATCTTCTTCCTTCCCCCACATTAGAATATATGAGTTGATGGTTGAAAGCAGTGCAACAGAAAGCGTCGGCATCCATTCACATCAGATCACAGGCACTAAAAGAGAGGAGGGGAAGGAGGAGCTGAGACAGACTGGGCCCCAGCCACAGATCACTGAGTCAGTCTGTGGGTTGGAGTGTGGAGATGGAGGGAGCGCAAAAAGAAATCCTGCACAGTCATTCTGGCGTAGGATGCTCTTGTCACCTCCTGGCCTCTCAGGAATGTGCTGCAGAAAGGGATGTTATACTGTCAAAACAGGGAGATATGATGGGATGCAATGGCGGAGGAAGGGGAAATGTACACTTACAAGATAAGCGAGAACTGATTTCTTCATTACCACATTTGTCTAAACTTAAACACATAGCCTACTGTAGATATTTGCAGCTTAATAAGATTGAAAAACACTATTATATCTCTCACCTCTAGGTGTTTCACAAACAGGGTTTTGGTATCGGATTGAAAGCACTTGTTGGTTTTCTGGAGCAATTCAATAGTGGTGATGGATTGCTGATTTATTTTTTTATTTTTTTTACACCTCAGGAAGTTATTCATTCTTCAAACAATCTTCCGATACAGGAATCCTCAGGCTGGTTGGTTTGACACTGGACACTGTTCCTTGAAGGCTATCCGGGTGGTGTAGACTGTATTAATGTTGTGTGAGTTGAGCTGTTTATAAAATCAGTGTGAGCCTGACCTATCACAAATCAGTTTGTACCACTTGATGTAATATAAGATTAAAAAATCTGATTGCAACAGCTGTAGCGGAATACCACAATCAATACATTTTTTGTTGTGGAGTGCAAGCATATATGCATTTTCCTGGACGGACCTGCTTACAGCTGCGGCACAGTGTGAAACATAATCTTTCCTAATTAACTACAATTGATGTTTTTGTTTTTATTGAAGTGAAACATAAAAAAAATCCAGGGAAATGCTGAAAATGCAATATACCAGTCTCTCCCTAAGAAGAAAAAAAAGACATCTGGATGTGAGCATATGTTGCGCTAAAACCTGTTTATATCTGTTTATCAAAGCATGACAGATGTCTCCAGGTTCTCAGTCTTTAATATGTATTACAGATAAAGAAATAATAATGATCAATATCTTTATAATTTAATGTGAAGAGACATTATCCTATGTTTATTTCTTTCCATTTTTACCTCTGAAAGACTGTATCAATCTGAGATGCTGTCTTTATACCCACTCATGCTTCCGACCGAATTAAACTAAATTTAATTGCAGCTAGTTCCTCCATCTGTTTCTTTTAGCCCCACTAACTACTTTTGTTACCCTTTAAGGTGTGTTGCTGCCATCAAATTAAAATTATATAACATTTTTTTAATTAAACAATTTATTTATTTATGTATTCATTTTGTATTTCCTCTGTCATTATTGTTCATACCAGGAGAATTGTTCATCTTTATGATACATTTAAAATACGTGAAAAAAAAAAGAATTAAAAAACCCTTCAGGTGATTTGTCAGATTAGTATTTCACTGTGTAGCAATGACATTCTGTCAATACAGCTGCATAATCATACTGCGCTTAAGTATTTAGGAGGTGGAATTCAGATCAGTCAAAGTTGCCCAGTAAAAAAAAGATCACAGTATATATACTGGATAATTCTAATAACACTCTGGAACATCTTTTGTTAGTGACAGGAACATCATATAAAACCAGGCATTATAAAACTTTTTTTTTTTTTTTTAAAGTACCCCCTCTCCTTAACTCATTCCCAGTGAACCGTGCCCTCGGATGTCTAGCTCACAGTGCAGTTAGTCTCAGAGCTGTGCAGTGTGGCAGGCGTCTGTTATTTCTGTGGCAATGTGTTTGGCCCTGAGCCTGCAGGCTGGCAGCTGCCTTTGTGTGTCGTGACCACTTGAAGCTGGAGATTTCACCAGGAGACGTGTACGTGCACAAACAATTGGGTGCATATTTGCACACACACACAGATGCACGCTGTGAAAGGGACATGCACACTGACAAATTGCGAGCAAATTTGTATAATTAAGCTCCTGACACTGCCTCTCGGTTGGCCCTCTCACACTGGCTCTCAGAACACTTAATCAGTTAGCTTGTACTGTATTTATACTCATGCATGCACGCACACAGATGCACCGAAAGGATGCAGCATCCATTTATATGCGACATAAATGTAAAGACCATGATTTCATATCAGCTGTTGGTAAGGAATGTACACAAACAGGCACAGTACACCGTACAGGCACTATGATAAATGAACAAATAAACACTATGCACACACACGCACACACCATGTCTTATACACATAGATGAGGTAAAGGTTCAAAAGAACATTGAGCATCACTTTGGCATTTAAATCATGCAGAGAATTCTTGTGTGTAACATTTCCAGGGATTTATATCCATTAATGCAGTTTTCTTACATGTAAGTCTGGAGTTGTTGTTTTTATTACTGTCGCAGGGAAGCAATTTATGTCCACAAACATTTGTTCTCCTTGCCCTTCAACTTGGGGTGTTATCACCTTACGACAAAGGCTCGGGGAGTACAAAACAAACAGTGGCTCCAGATGAAGCATTATATTTCAATCAGAAGGAGATATACAGCTCAAGATCACAGCTGGATGGTGGGATTGAGATTTATCTGAAGAAGCTGGAAGCTCAAAGAATATTCAAAATATGAATATATTCATGTGTTCACGCTTTTGAGAGATATTTTGGCAGAAAGGGTGTGAGAGTATGTCCTGACATTAGAAGTTAATACAAGAACGTGATTACAAAGATGTGTGTTCTTTACCGGTTTTGCGTACGCCATGCAAAAATGCATGTATAATAACTGCATATTCATATGCGCAAAACTGTCCAATAATTTTAATTTCAAGGACCTTTAACTCATCGTTTAACAATTTATTTGCAACCATGTGCTTGGAGTTGCTTAGCAATTCCATTATTTATTTAGCTTAAAGCTCTTTCAAATGATAAACTCTCTGTGCTGAGTGACTTCATATCTCAGGAGCAGATAATCTACCAATATTGCAGAGGAAATGCCCCCCCCCCTCCTTTGGATATGGGAAACAAAGAGACAGTGAGATCAAAGAGAGAGTCGTACAACTCGTTCTCATCCCATATGGGTGCAGATCCAGACTGCTGCTGCTTGAGGGTAAGGTTATAAGACCATTGAAGTCCGCAGGTATGGCTCTGACCAGTGTGCAGATTCAAAAAGGATCACTAGAGGTGCCGAGTAACCTTGAAATATTAGCAAGCTGGATTACCAAGGTTGAACATTATCATTCCACGGGAGGGTGGATGAAAGAGCAGAATGATGAAAAAGGATGAGAAGATGAATGGATAGCCACAGTTAAGGAGGGATGGGTTTATAACCTCTCATTAAACTTAAGTCTGATGGATGGATGAAAGGAGGAGACGGGAAGTGATAATGAAAACAGAAGAATTATGGGTGACTTTTTGCCCCCATGTTTCCTGTGGGTGTGGAGAGAGGCTATCGAAAGGAATGAGTCAAAAGCTTTCCCTCTCACAATGACTACCATCACCTGGTCGAGTAGTGAATAATCTTCAAATTTAGCATAATTCCTCAATGGTTAAAATAGGGCACCGAGGATTCCGTCATTCTCAACCACGTCATTCTTACTCTTTTTTTTGTTTTTTTCACCATTGCTCTTACTTCACCTTTTCTACTCTTTTAACATTTGTCTGCTTTTCTTTCATTCACAGAATAACTTTCTGCCACCTGCCCTTCCAGAGTAAGTGGTTGTACATCGGCACAGAACGAGGGAACATCCACCTCGTCAACGTGGAGTCCTTCATGCTCTCAGGCTACGTCATCATGTGGAACAAAGCCATTGAACTGTGAGTGGCCCTGGCCTCTTTGTTTTCCCCCTTTTTTCTTTCCACTGTGATGATGCCCTCTACATTTCGCCTTGTAGTAGATTTGCCTGAGCTTTTCTTATGCATCTCATTGCTCTAAAGTTGGGCAAAGCTTACCTGTTCTGCCGTATTGGTATTGTGTCACACGGAGGAGCTCCGTATCCAAAATGTATCACCAATAAATGGATCAATATTCAAACTTAGCTGGAGTCAAACATCGCCAGCACTGCACCTCTGAGGGACTATTGATTCATTTAGCAAAGTTCTTTAAGAAATGCAATAAAATCAGCATTTTACCTTCCAGTAGGTTGTTCCAATGACATAAGAGGCATATTAAAATCATAAAGAAATAAATTTCCAGGCAAAGCATCAAATTCCAGGTAGCGAGAAACAGTCTCTGCTGTTTCAGTGGATCTGTCAGCTTGACAGGCTCCATTTTGGCTCCCTGCTGTTGAGACTTGAATTATTCACTGGAGCATTTTGCTTCACACTTTCCCCTCATCCGCTTCTAAACATGTGTGAGCGTGTATGTATGCATGTATGCATGCGTGCGTGCGTGGAGACGGAGAAAGAGAGGGGGAGGCAGTGGGCGGAACAGGTGTCTGCTGAGATCAGTGTATGGTACACACAGACGTCTCGTCGACAGGGCTGCAGGGAGGAAAAGGGAAGAGCGAGTGTTAGGAGACGAGGAGAGGGGAGGAGGGAAGGGTGCTTGACAGTGGGGAGGGGAGGGGAACGGATGAGATGAGGTTTGTGCTCGTGGATAAGGGCACGCAGGAAAAAGAGTGATGGAAGAGAGGAATGAAGTTGTGAAGGAAGAAAAAACGCAGGTAACAGAGGGCAAAGCTGAAGATGGAAGTTTAGCTGATAAGTGCTACAAGAGAGGGAGAGCTTAAGGTTTCCAATTAAAAGAAAGAAGGGCAAGAGGGTAAGATGTGATATGACAAGATAGAGACGAGATACGGATGATGGAAAAACAGATATTGGGGAAACCTATAGACTTGAGGGCAAGCATTAACTTTCACTTTTCTTAGCTGGACTTTGTTGTTATCCTTTTTTGATCTTAATAGTTACCCCTGATCTTATTTACCTCAGATGACGCGTTTTTTTTTCAAACCGACCGTTTTTAACACATCAGCAACCAACACAGTTTCAAAACTCTTGCTTTTGCTGTGTCTTGTTTCTTCAAAAACAAGACAGGAAGAACTCTGGAGATTTTTTATTTTCCTTTTGATCAAAGAATTGCTTAACTTTGCGCATTTTGGGATCCACCACACCGTAAAGAGGTGTAACTGCATGCCTGCATTGTACTGCAGAGCAGCCTCCAGCCCCCTGCACTACAAATCCCAGCGGAATTACTTGTGAATGTAGCCAATGGCGACCCTGCATGTCTCATGTGTTGTTCCTGATGCACAGAATCACCTTGTGACTCAAACTCAAACCAATATACTTTTTTTTATTTTTTTTTATTTTATTTTTTTTTTAGATTTTTTTGGCTCTAGTGGCCTTTAATGACAGTAGGTTGACAGGAAAGGGGGCAGAGATAGAGAGGGGGAGACCTGCGGGAAAGGGCCGTGGGCCGGATTCGAACCCACGGCCACCCGCTTACGAGCGCAGGCTCTGTATATGGGCCACCCGCTTACGAGCGCAGGCTCTGTATATGGGCCACCCGCTCTAGCCATTAGGCTACGGCTGCGGTCCATATATACTTTTTTTTTAGCTAACCCCCTTCAGTGTCCAGGTTCCCATCATAGGATGATATTTTGTTGTTTAGAAATATTGCAAGGAATAACCTTGTTTAACTGTTTTATAGATTTAGAAAAGAGTTTGTTCCAAAACTTGCAGTCACAAATTCAGATTAACTTCTGCACATCTTTCAGCATATTTTTCTCTATAATGTTGCTTTAAGTTATCAATTCTCAGTTTGTAAGTTACTTGATCTTTCAATTATAAAAAATATAAAAGAAAATGTTCGTAGAAGTTAGCGGTTTATATTTAACTGAATTATTCATATTGACCTGAGTGAGCTTCATTGACCTCCACCCTAAACGCACTCTTGATACTGTATTTGATAGACATACATCTCTTCATCTGCTCAGTGTCCATTTCCTGACCCCATCCAAAGATAAATCGTGCTTATCAACGTACATCATCTGAAATTCTCCTCTGCAAACTCCGACTGCGTTGTTTCTGTTCAAACTGTGGCTCTCTGCACAATTAGTTTGAGGAAAATGAGGTTTCTTTATCTTTTAGCACAGGCTTCACTTACTCATGCAGCCATTCTGGGGAATATTATGTCTTCTAGGATGGCGGTCGTGCCGGGAACGATTTCTCTGATTTGTTACAGAGGCATTCGGTTTGCATATCTGTTTGAGTTTGCTTACGCGGTTCGCTTTGAAGCAGATCAGAGACGTTTGAGGTGAGCCTCTTGTTCTTTCACTGCCAGCTGTGGGGTTAGCAGGGTTGGCGTCCAGAAACAAAAGCTGCTTTGCTTCTCTTGTCCGCTTGTGATGCTATCATCAGACAAAGATGGCACTTGATCTATATGTGTAACTGCACTTGCAGCTGGAATTTTCTGAATGTCTTTTTCCTTAATGAAATCCACTTTCTTTGTTTTTCTGGTTGCCATCTGTAAAAAGAAATAAAGTTGCTGTGTCTTTATATTTCTGATTTCTAGGTGTTGCTTTCAGACATTAAAAAAAAAGCTGCTTTTAAAAAGGAATCGGTCAGTGTCACATGTGGTTCACTTAAACATTTTATTTAACGCCTTGCCCGGTACACCGCTGTTCTCTTGTGACTGTTAATGAGGCTAGGATGTAGTGTGTACCGGGGTCATCATCCCTTGGGCTCTGCTATTTGGAGAAAAGCTGCAGTTGCTGTGCCAGTAGCCTTAGGCCCTGCCTGGCCCAGTGCTCTGTGCATGTGTATGACTCACACCTCTGTTCCCAAGCTACTGTCCCGGAAACTGAACGAGACCATAGGATAAACACATATCCTACACCAACTGCATGGCGCTCTAGTTTTGTCAGTGCTATCGGCATGACGATAAGGACACATGTAAATCTATGTTTGTTCAGACGATGCACACTTTTTCTTCACAAATGAGTAGTGCGATGTATACAAAATGTCTACATGTGAGTGTTTAAATGACGGCACTATTTTTCCGCGTGTGCTTGATTTGATTCAGTTACACGGTCACTGGATGCAGAGAGCAATAAAGATGTGGAACAGGACTGGCAAATGTTAAGTTTACCATGACACATAGTTCACGTGAACGTGTTGACTTGAGGCATCTTATGTTCCTTTGCTTTCATCTTGTCCCACTCTCTCACTCAGAGGCCCAAAGCTCTTCTAAATTTTAGTAGCAATATTTCTTGTAATGCTTCTTGTCTTTTCATGCTGTATTTTCGTTGAACTGTGAAATCATCAGCTCACACTGCAAAAGACATTAGAAGTTCGATAGACTCCAGCAGCCTATGTTTTTGTTTTAATTGTTTGCCTTAAACAATTGGCATTGGGATGTTTGTTGCTGGTAAAACTTTTTGTTTGACATTTTGCTTTAATACCGCATGGGATGCTCTCATGCAGTAGTGAAAAATGCCATTAATTCATAAAGAGAGATTTGGTTATTTGATTAGATCAGATATAAATTGTGTTAAAGCTTGAGGTATAGAAATAAGAAACACGGATTATCAAAAATGCACCTGGGCTAATGTTACTTTAAGTGTTTGCAGATAATACAGATTATCTGTCTGTAGACATAAGGAGGACATTTTGGGCTAACTGTTCAATGTCTGGGATATAGACATGCTTCTCCTCAATAGTATGTCTTGGATTATACCATTTGTCATTAGCAAGCATTGCAATCCCTCAGACCTCATCGTTGCTGCTGTCTGCGGCGTCTTTCCTCGCCTATAGAAAAGCGAGCATTGAGCCACCGTCGGCACTCTAAACTCCACGATAACTTTTCAAATGATCTCACTTCTACTATGATGATTAGAGTTTTCTCCTGACTGCAGTCCTCTTTTCTTCTCCCTTATATCCTTGAGATTTCCTCTTTCCCATGTCCAGGTCTGGGTCCTATTCATGGCATTGCTTTTGGTTTGCTCATTCAGCTGAAACAGCTGGATGAGCTGAATTGGGAGCAACAATTCTCCCAGTATCATGGTTATGTATAATTGGTTCGTGTGCATTATTAGAGAGAATCTTCCAAAGCCAATTAAAAATAAGTTGCCTAGCTAATGAAGCCAGCAGATTGCATTGGAACTTTGATTAAACTCTCAATCCTGATTATGCACACAATGGAAAGAAAAATAAATCATCAGAACCCTGGCTGGATCATTCTCATCAGCTGGGGGCTTTTCAGAGAATTATTGGGCCAACACAATAATACAAATGACAGTTGTTGAATCTTGAAGTAACCAGTCCCGAAAGGAAACAAATAAATCCAGAATAAGACAAGAGCTTCTGCTACAGGCTGGCGCTAAATTAATCTTAGAATTTTAGAGCATGAAAAATTAAACACAAACTAATTAAACACAAATTTCACATTTTTGTCATATTTGTTGATTACTTCAGAATAGCCTACTTTTTTAGTTAAATTTTTCATGTCTTCATGACGTTCTTGATTCTGAATAAAACAATTCTAATATTCTTAGTAACTGTAAGTAGGACTATACCACGCAGATTAAACATGCTTGGAGAATCTCATATGATAATTAACGCTACTGCAGTCTACTGAGGTAACATGAGGTCACATGCAGTTAAGGCAGACTGCAAATGGGTTGTTCAGCTATATTACTGCACAGTCACTGTCAACCGACCAAGAATTTGTCACCTATGAGGGCAGCAGATGTTCAGGATGCCTCTGCGTGTGCATGTGTGTGTTTGTGGCAGAGTTAGCTAGTTTTAACCTATAGGTTGTATTAATATATATGGTTTTATTCATACAAACATTAAAGCATTGCACTTTTTTGCTGTCACACATACAGTATATTTTTCATACACGAAAGATGAGATAAGCTCATGTGTGTACTGAATAGATGCTATCAACATCGAAGAGGTGTTACCTTCCCTGATGCTGAAAGAGTCCCACTGTGTTGTCTACACTAAACAATTGCTTTGTGGTAGCTGTGTGCATGGTTGTAAATCACACATAAGTATTTTTCTGTTTTCTTATTGCTCTGAAAGTATTACTGGTATGGGGAATTCTTAAGGATGGATTTGGTGCAGCGAAGGATTACAAAAGATGAATGCCTGAACCGGGAGTATCAAGGTTATATTTGCCATGGGAAATTCAGCGTAGTTTTCGTGAGTATGCTCGAATCTGAAGCTGAAAAACAACAATGCAGTGAATGTTGAGAAAAATAGTAGCGTGCACATGGCCAAAAAAGCATGCATGAACGCACATACAGTTGTGTGTCCACACTTACGCGTGTCAAGGCTGTGTGTTTGAGTGTGGGTAAGTGTATTTGTGGCAGAGTAGGGATGATTTTTGGGAGCCTGTCTGCACTCTGCCCATCCTGCCTCTGTTGCCATGGTGATTCCTTTATCTCCAAACCTGACTGTGTATTTGTGGACTTAACAAATGCGTAGATGTCAGACTTGTGTACTCTAAACAACTTTGAGAATTTTCTCCAGGGAATACAGAATTTGCACATTAAAACCCTAACACGAGATGTATTAAGTCACGTGGGGAAAAACTCCCACCGAGGAAGGTGGATTTCGCAATTACGCACGAGAGTTAATGTAATGCCATCAAGGATATCTCCTTTTCAAAAAGGAAAGACTTTAGAATGTCTCTTAATTGTGCTGTAATCCATTTGTGTTTTTGAGGATATTTGTGCTGGTGTGGACAGCCGTTAGCTCAGAGGTGCACAGTAAAGGGGGATTAGATAAATCAACAGCTCTGGCTGCAGCAGAGCTTAGGTAATAAGGCTCCAGCGCTAACAGGCTAAATATAGAGACAGCTGAATGACTGTCTGCCTGCCCACTTACTGCTACCTTTTAACACACAAACACATTGTTGAACACTTTCTTTTGCCCTCTGATTATATTCCTAGGTCAATGGAGATACTGAGAGAAAGGATGTTCATATAACATGCTGTTTGATTTCTATACAAAATATGCCGTCATCCAAGATATCAGTCTGGTTTTTTGTTTTTGTTTTTGTTTTTAGAAAATGGATTTCAGTACATCCCCCCTGCACTGCCAGACAGCTAAAAAACTGCCCTGCTATTGCTTACTTGATTCTTGCGGTAACTACATCTAGCTTTTGCTCTCCTCTCCTTATCTGTCATCCCTACCTTTACTGCCTGTTGCATTTGTTAGCAACAAGAGCAGTCATTCTTTTTCAGTGACCTTCCCATCACATGTCTTTAAGACAGGACAGGTTTGGAAAATTATTTTGGAGATTTGACATAAGGATGTCTGGAGGGTAAATCCCAGACAGAAGGGGGAGAAGCGGCGTAGTGTAGCATTCGTGCCGTCATCACGGACATGCAAATGAAGGCACACACACACACACACACACACACACACACACACACACACACACACACACACACACACACACACACACACACACGCATTCACATACACGTAGCCACCAGGGAATGAGACAGTCATTTATCACAACCTCACAACCTTTGGTGAGCTTGTCTTTAAGCTGCGTTTTTGAAGCATGGAGTGATAGGCAGCTTGTCTTTTCCCAGCAGACTGACTTGCTGGGTACCTGCTTATCACCTAGACCCCTGTTTTTTTAACGACCCCTGGATCATGGACTAAGAACACCTATTATTCAGTTGTGTTTCCTGTTCACCCTTTACCTGACTCATTTTTAAACGGAGAGCTTTTCCCAGGCTGGCATGACTTGCAAACGGGTGCTGAAACCTGACACAGCAGCTCCACATGGCTAATTAGCATGAGACACATGTTAACACAAACAGTGTCTCAACTGCTAATGCTCAACCCACATTCACACACATTTTTTTTTTCTTTTTTACACAAGCACAAAAAACAGTGGATGAAAGACGCTCAGTAAAACTGTTGTTTTGGAACATGTCATTAGCATCACTGCAGCTGATTGCAACAACGAAGCGATCTGGATGTTCTTCTGCCAAAACTGTCACACATGTTTTCTGCTCGTCTTTCCTTCAAGAAGGCTGAAATAGTTCTCTATTATTATGTGATGACACCAGTGGCTCGGGAGAGTGAAGGGTACTATGTGTTATTATTAGATACTACATTTTGATGTGATGTCTAAATTTAGTATCATTGCACAAGAAACAGGAATGATAATAATATCACTGTCTATTTGTCTTTTTTTATAAGGTCCTCCAAGGCTCACCCAGGACCAGTCGTCCACATAAGTGATAACCCTATGGATGAGGGAAAGGTAAAGCACCCCACACAAAAATCAGTTTTACATTTCTTCATTTCTGAGTAAATTTGGTCCCTTTGACCTCTCCTGGACCGACAGAACCTTGATTTAAGAAAGATCAGTACTTCAGTCGTAGAAGGCCGACAAGAACTCAGGACCCAAGCAAATTAAGATGGAAAAAATACATAGACATCTGGCAAAAAAAAAATAATCTGAAAACATCAAACTGACTGTGATTGTCGTGTCCATGAATTAGTTGTCAGATAAAGTTTATTAAGAAGTGTTACGCTATCTACGTGCAGCTATTTTTGTCTAACCATCACTTGTGAGTCAGGAGTAGCCGCTCTCCTTCTGAGTTGCTGTAGACGGGTCACATGTAAGTCCCTCACACTGTGTGGGAATGTCAAGCGTGCTGTTTGTGCCCTTCATGGGGTCTGCTCCGTCCCCTGTCTGTCATCTCTTCTCCCCATCTCAAAGAATGCCTGTTACTCTTCCTCTCCAGCTTATAATTGGATTTGAGTCTGGGATCGTGGTCCTGTGGGATCTGAAATCAAAGAAGGCAGACTATCGCTACACTTATGATGAGGTAGGCAAATCTCTCCATTCCTTTCAGGCATCTCTGTGATTTTTTGATCTACAAGGTTACAGTGTATCTTTTTGAAGCTGGGAATTAAATATCACATTCACGAGCTGTACTGTACCCAGCTGTGTCAGTGTCTGTCAAGCTTTGAGTTTCAGATAATGTACTGAGGATAAAATCTGTTGTACATGTATAGATCTCTGTGGCTGAAAAACACACACTGTTATCACGCTTTCCTGAAAGTTGAGTCTCCTCACATGTGTCAAAAGCCAATTATATTACAAATAAGAAAGCTGACAGGGAGTGGAAATGACTTTTTTTTTTCTTCAGTAAGGTTGAGGTTTTTCTTCATGGAAAGCAGCAGCTCGTCTTTGTCGATAGATAAAATAAAGTCAGTTCGCTCTGCCAAAGAATCTTTTCTACAACCAGCTGTCAGCGTTATTCAGCTACAGGAGGAAGGAAGATGTCAAACAAAAGATTTCAAGACAAAAAAAATCATAACAAAGAAACACCAGGATTCTATTAGAAAATAAAATGTGTAGAGTCAGAGCTTTCAAAATGTTCACAACTGCATAATAAGTGAAAAAGAAATATTTAACAACCAAAATTTTAGAATTAGAAGGATAGAAACCTTCCATTTTGATAGACTGAATAAAATATGGCAGTCGCTGTGACTCCTTTAACTCACAGCTAAACAGGCCTAGCACTGGGCATGTAAGATATATATCAAATATATATATATATCAAATGCCCAGGAGTGAACTGGAACCCAAATTAACAAAGAAGGATCATTTACAAAATGTGTATATACAGTATATATATAATGTAATGTGAATAGAATAACAAACCTCATTAGCAGGTGTTAGCATTGTCTTTTCTTCTGACATGCATGTTGATTTAGGCCCACTTGTCATATTTATTCAAATACCCATGACATTGGTGTTAATGAAATACAGACATCCCCATCATCTCTTTTATGCATCATGTCCTACATCTTCTGCACTCAGACCAGATGTCACTCACTGGTATTTCCAGCTGTGAGAACACACCTCCACTGGAAAATCTGGAGCTGTTAAGTGTGTGTTAAAAGATCAGTTCTTTGGAATTTCCTCACTATGTGTTAAAATTGCTCATTTCTATTTAATAATGTTTGTGGAAAAATATATACACACACACACACACACACACACACACACACACACACATATTTGGCATGTAAATGGTTATAAAGCATCTTTGGTTGACATTGACATTTTGCCACACCACTGCTCGTTTACATTGCTGGCAGTAGTGTGCATCTGTAAGTCTTTTAAATTACCCAGACTCATAGACACACAAAAGATACTCTATATTGTATTTTGATATGTTGGGAACAGCCTCTGTTGCTTCCTGTGTCTGCTGTCTACCCCTCTCTGATAAGCTAATAACCTCCCACTGCTGCCAGGCATTACAGTCTCTAGAGCCAGATCATCCCGAGGGATTTCATCTCCTCTCTAAACCCCCACACACGCACCTCTCTGGAGACACTTTGGGGACGGAAGGAGGGGACAGGGAGGGACCTGGCTGTATTAACACACAACTGTTAACTCCTCCATACCTCTTAATGGTTTTCTCCCGGTTAATGAATTCAATTTATTGCAAGAGTCATATATCTTTAAAGTTTAATTTGCCCCCAAACCAGCCTTCAGGACCCTTATGTGCTGCATCAGTGGTATCTTGTGGGTGTACCGTGGCTTTTCTAATATCACTGTTTTGGATGGGGCCGTTGCCAAGACTAATTAAATTGACTAAAGAGCTGGTGCCATGGGATATAAGCATAATAGCGCTTTATGATAAAAGGTATGGGTAGGTTGGAGAAAATTAATATACAGTTCACATTCACTTACATAATTTAAACCACATGTTCATCACACAATAGAAATTGTCTTTTACTTTTTAGTTTTTAAATATTACATACATATTACAAAGGCCTATACAATTACTTATAAGATAATGGTAAGGTTTGTCCAAAAATGTTTTTAAATGTGTTGAAATAGAATGTAGTAATAGAATATTGTAAAATGATATAGTAATGTGACATTGTATCTGCCACTAAGTATTCCTAGTATAAAAGTCACTGACATTACATGAAATTAAAGCCAAACTTACAACTTAAAAAAATAATTCCTTTGGGATATCTGGGTAAATATTTGCAAACTTCATCTTTGTATAGATTGTTCAAATTAATCTTTTTGGGTGAATTAACTTTTTACAGCAAATCATTTAGCCAGCTGTTTTCATGTTGAATTTTCATTCACACCTTATTTATCCAGAAGCTTGATGTCAAGTACTAAAAAAACTATCACCGTTGGAGGGACATTTGCATGTACAGTGAGTCCAAGAAGTATTTGATCCCTTGCTGATTTTCTTCGTTTGCCCACTAATAAAGATGTGATCATTCTGCACGTTTAATGGTAGATGTATTCTAACATGGAGAGACAGAATATCACAAAGAAAATCCTGAAAAAAAATCTAAGGAATATATATTAATTAATTTGTATTTCATTGAGGGAAATAAGTATTTGATCCCTCAGTTTGCATTAGGAGTTCTGCCTTTCACAGAGCAGTTAGACACTCCCAATCAGCTTGTTACTTGAACTGAAGCCACCTGTTCTCACTACTCACTTGTGTGAAAAAAACCTGCTCACAGAATCAGACAATCTGACAGATTTCAAGTCTCCAACATGGGTAAGACCAAAGAGCTGTCTCAGGACCTCAGAGTCAGGATTGTTGACCTCCACAAAGCTGGAATGGGCTACAAAAAGATTAGCAAGGTGTTGGATGTGAAAGTAAAAACTATTGGTGCAATTGTTAGAACATTTAAAGAGTATAACATGACCATCAACAGACCTCGGCCTGGTGCTCCAAAGAAGATTTCACCTCGTGGGGTGACAATGCTCCTGAGAACGGTCAGAAATAATCCCGCAACCACTCGTCAGGAGTTGGTAAATGACCTGAAGGCAGCTGGGACCACAGTGTGCAAGGAAACAATTGGCAACACTTTGCGCAACAATGGACTAACATCCTGCAGTGCCCGAAAGGTACCCCTGCTCAAGAAGGCACATGTGGAGGCGTGCCTTAAGTGTGCCAATGATCACCTGAAAGATGAACCAAGTTATTGGGAGAAGGTTCTGTGGTCAGACGAGATCAAAATTGAACTTTTTGGCCTCAACTCTACCCGCCATGTGTGGAGGAAGCAAAGTGCTGCCTATGACCCCAAGAACACTGTGCCCACCGTCAAGCATGGAGGTGGAGGCATAATGTTTTGGGGGTGTTTCTCTGCCAAGGGTACAGGGCTACTTCACCGCATCACTGGGAAGATGGATGGAGCCATGTACCGTACAATCCTGAGGGACAACCTCCTCCCCTCTGCCAGGAAGCTGAAAATGGGACGTGGTTGGGTCTTCCAACATGATAACGACCCGAAACACACAGCAAAGGCAACAAAGGATTGGCTCAAGAAACATCACATGAAGGTCTTGGAGTGGCCCAGCCAGTCTCCGGACCTCAATCCGACTGAGAATCTATGGAGGGAGCTGAAGGTCAGAGTTGCCAAGCGACGGCCCACCAACCCTTCTGATTTAGAGAGGATCTGCAAAGAAGAGTGGGCCAAAATTCCCCCTGGTGTGTGTGCTAAACTTGTGGTTAACTACAACAAACATCTCACTGCTGTACCTGCTAACAAAGGCTTTGCCACTAAGTATTGACTGTGTTTGGCTAGAGGGATCAAATACTTATTTCCCTCAATGAAATACAAATTAATTAATATATATTCCTTAGATTTTTTTTCAGGATTTTCTTTGTGATATTCTGTCTCTCCATGTTAGAATACATCTACCATTAAACGTGCAGAATGATCACATCTTTATTAGTGGGCAAACGAAAAAAAATCAGCAAGGGATCAAATACTTCTTGGACTCACTGTAGCTGGTGATCCATCATTATTTGGCAAAATTTAAGACAGATTTCAAAATCTTGAAACTTAACCTGGCTTCCAAGAAGACAACAAAGTTTCCAGCAGAGTTCAAACAAATAAGCAATAAAACTGTGGTTTTACACCCTCCCAAAGAGCTGAGAGTGCACACCATCCACTATGAGTCTTTCAGTGGATTGTCTATTATTAGCTGTGGATCAGCACTATGGGTTTCAAGTAAGTGGTAGCCAGAGAGCATCCGTCACCTGAACCTGCCTCACCCTGCCCTCTCTGACTCAACACCTTGTTGTGAATTTGGCACTGATGAATGGTTCATATTTCAGCCGAATCTGAGTTCCCTTTCCTCCACCTCTCTTTTCTTTGTCTCCTAGCATCTGTCTGCCAGCAAGCATACCCTTAATCTGCCCATCACTGAAAATCACTGATTTATTCGACATTCTTGCTACACAAACGGCCCACGGTTTGTCTATCACAAACAACCACTTTTGCTTGCTGTTACATGGGATGCATTTCCATTTTCGATGCTCTGACTATTTTCTTAATCCCAATATGGATCTTTAAATTTTTCTTTTTTTTCCTTCCCTCTTTGTATTTTCTGATCTTTCTAATATTTTCTCCCTCTCTGGTTTTGGCTCTGTTGTTTCCCTGTAAAGTCACACAAGAATCTTCTCACAATGAAAGAAACTGATATGCTGTTACTGTGAAAACAATTCATTGATGTGTGTCTACTGTGTTTTGCCGCAGTGTGTGTCAGATAAGTGCTCCCATCCTTCCAAACATTCACTGACAGGAATTCCTTGGTTTGGTAAAAAATAGCAGTCTTAAATTAGTATGAAGGATATGTTTAGTAGTTGGTCTTGTGTCACCAAATGTACTTTGGCCAATCAGGATGTGAACAAAGAACAAATAGGGCTGTCCTAGAGTGCCTGGTACTGGAAAATGTACCTTCTGGTTCATGTTATCAAATGGTGAGAGATGATGGACACCATGGAAATGCTGCCAGCTCATTACAGGGTCCTGGTCAATATTCTGGGTCTTAAAAATTTAATTTCTGGGATCAGTTTAGTGAAGTCCCAAGATTAACCCTACTGCAATTGCAATAATTCAGGGTTAATTCACCAAAGCTTAGAGTTTTTTGTCTGCTGGATGCAAGATGATGCAAATTGTTACAGATGGTTGGAACTCTTTTCCAGAGATGGTGCACTTATTTCACAAATTTTCTGTAGCATTCTTTGTGATGGACAAGAAGGTCGCTATTTCATGTGCCTCACGCGGTAAATTCTTCCCGTCTGGTCGTCTGAGAAGATTAAAAAGCTAAACTGTGAATCATTTGTGAACTCCATCTGACAGGAGTCTGGTTTCATTGGTAATTGCTTTCTTTCCCCTATAAGACTTGTTGAGGAGAACTATTCATAGCTGGTGGGTCATTTGGTAAGCAAAGCCAAGATTAGCGTGTATAAATGTCTCTATTAGATGCAAAGTCTTTGTTGGGGTCTACCGTCCAAAAGGACCTGGGTGGTACTTATGCTGTGACAATATTATGACTATTCTCCAGACCAGTTCATTCTCAAAACATTTTCTTTTTTTTTTCACTTGTTGAAGTGAAGTGTGTTTAATTAGCAGATGCTGACCACTCCATATCCTCCTTCAATGGGGAAGCATTTTTTTTAATCTTTCACAATATTTTCCTTTTTTTCTTTCTTTTTTTACCCTGGCCTGTTCAGCATTATGGCAGCAGAACTGAAATCTGAACAAAACTGCTTTGCCAAGGGAGGCTTTGTTGGTGAGAACCCCCCCTTGATTACCCAAAACTGCTTTATTTATTCATTTTGTTACCAAGCTTACATGTGTCCAGTAATGCCGAACCTGACAGAAGGACAGGGAAGAAAGAAGAGCAGTGGAAAAGGAGAGAGATCCTTTAGACAGAGCGAGAAAGAGAAAAAAAAAAGAAGGAAGGACAACAAAACCATTCAACCAGCTGCTATGTCTGTAGAAAAACTGTTCTCTGTGGGCAATTCGGGTGGAGATTCATTTAATTTCATTTCTAATTTTACAGCACAATTCCTCCTTGCCACTTATTTGGTTAGTATATCATGCCTCGGAAATCTCAGGCTGAATTCACAGTAGTACTTCTAGATTAATACTACCTTACTCTTTTCTCTCTGTGCTCATAAACTGTGATTCGGAATTATCTGTTTTAAACACAGTAGAGCTAAAAAAGGATTGGGATTTTGTTCCTTTCTTACAAAACAACAAATACAAACTGGATTAAAAATGATTTTCACATTCTTAAACCAAAATTAATTACCCAGTGGAAATTACTTTTGACATTTAGTTAATTTATTCATTTATTTTTTCTGTAAATCTGTCTTCAGTCAAATTTCAGGGACTTAAAATAAATAAAGAATAGAGATAAAGACAGAACGTAAATAAGTAAAAAAAAAAAAAGTCTTCCTTATGCAACAGCTTTTCAGTTCAGAGAAGGTTAAGTTTAAATTTAGCCGTCAGAATCAGTATTGTGGAACTTTAGCTAAGTCAAGAGGAGAGAAGTGTTGATCAATGTGTCTGTGTAGATGCTCTGTTATTCAGGTCATAACTACCCCCGGGGCTTAAAGAAAAGTAGCTGGCTTTTTTCATGTAGAAAAGCTGTGTAACATTCTCTCATCAATAGGTTTCCTCACTTCATACTCTCTGATCCGAAACATAAAGAATTGGACTTCGAGTAAGGACAGAGGTCTATTAAATACCTCATGTCCTTTAGCCCGCGATCCATTGCAGTGACTGAGCCCAGTGTGTAAGTGTTTGTGGCTCTTTTGGGTCCCTGCGAGACGCGACGCTGCCAGACAATATTCCAAACGAGTTTGCGACATGCATGTTTATGTTTGTCTGTTTTCCTACACCGGTCTCTGTTTGTGTGCTAATAATTGTCTTCGCAGTGAACGCGTGCCTCTGTGTGAGGTGCTCTCATGTGATGGTGATAAGTGTCGACTGAATTCTCTGAACCCCCAAAGAGCAATCTGTGAAAACTGTCCTAATGTGATAAATCATGAAATTAGTCTTTTTAATTGGCATTGTAAGGTTTGATGAGTACCATGTGGTTCAATTATCCTGCTAATTTTCCAATTAAGCTCATTGTTGTCTGTTTTGACTGTCTCCATGAACAAAGCACTGAGGGGTTTTTGGAGCTTTGTCTTATTGTCTGTTGCTGAGGATGATTGAGGGCTCTCTCTGATAAAGTTATGATGGGTTGAAGAATTGTGCCATTTCTTTTTTTTTTTAATCTGAGCAACAGTCAACATAAAGACAGATGTAGACATCTTTAACCTTTCATATAGTTCCGAATCAATTGACAATCATACTAATAATGCTGCTTTAGCTCAAATCTCCCAGTGCTGCTCTGCAAATAAGACACAGTCAGAAGTTAAATATGTTTTTAGTCCTTTTTTGTGTTTGTTTGTTGTTGATGTGTCAGTCCTATTAGTACATTTAAATAAATTATATGGGAACGAGACCCTTGTGCAGAAATTCAGATCCCCAAAATCATCTCTGAATGCACGATTAAAGGCTGAACAGACTTATTCACAGATGATTCAATTTATATCCAGAACATGAAATATTAATACGTTATAAAAGGTGAAATTTCTTGGATTCCTTCACTTTGCATTCAGGACACCTACATAGCAGCATCGATGCCATTTGGTCTGCATACATATGAATCATTTATGGAAGAAAAAACAATCGCTGACAAACTCCCCATCTTTCTTGGCTTCCATAGTCCTAGACACCAGCTTAAAGACAGCTAAAGCACACCATTACTCATCATGCTTTATTATTTTTTATTATTACTTTTCTTAAACAGAAAATTAAGATAATTTAGGAGAAAACTTAAAGCATTAAGTTCAGCGCTGGTCGAACTTATGCTGGTGGACTAAAGTCACACTTAAAACTAGCCTGTATTTGCAAACAGTGGGTGATGGAACAATTGAAGGGCACCTCCACAGGCCATAATCCTCGTTCCTTTTGAGGTGACTAGTTGGCAATAAACATAATATGCTAATTATACGATAATTCACAAGTAATAAAGGATATTTTGTAGGAAAGTGAAAAATAACTAACATTCTGTTGTACAAAATAAAAGTATACTGTTAGAAAAACTTCACTATTAACAATGTTAACCCCAATGCAACATATTGTTTTTCTTGTTTTTCTTGAACAAATCTGCAGCAATGACACCCTGATGGTAAAATGGATATGCTCTTAAATAAATTGTTGCTGCAATTGTGGGAGATTGACTTTACCTGACGTGCAATCATGCTGGCATTCATATTGAAGCAATCTATTTCATATAAGTATTGGGAGACGAGTAGAAGCACCAAGGATACAAAGCGACAAGCAACGGTGGCAATTTTACTCTAAAAAAACAAACAAGGGAACTGTTGATATAATTTGCAAACTCCTGGAAGGTGGAAGGAATATAATGAATCTTCAGCCATCAAGTTCTTTTGATTATTTATGGGTGAGGTTGGCCATCATAATTACTTTTGAAGTTATTGTGAACTTCACTCATGTCATACTTACATAATTGCAAAATGTTGGTGAGGAGTAATTATCAGGTATCAGAAGGGCATCAATAAGCTGCAGAGACCTTTACCGTCTGACTTTGGCCATTTGTGTTTTCTTTTCCGTAGATAAAGCATTATGAGCTGAGCTAAAAGCAGCAAGACCGTTTGAATGAAAGGAGAAACGAGGACGAGCAGAGCGTTGTCTCTCTAACTTATTCCTAAAGTCCCCGTTACTCCTTCTCTGTCGGCTTGTCTGTAGATCAGAGATCCATATCTTCACTTGGGAATGCACTTTATTTCTTTTTTCTGCGCCCTCATTTAGATTTTGAAACCCTTATATAAGATTTCTTCTTAATACTTTTCTCCTTTAACTCCCTTTCACATCAAGTGCTTTTTCAGCACTACATAGATTTGAACCATTAAATGCCATGGGTACCGATGGTGGTAAATGAAGAAGAACATAATAGATCAGCTGTGTTTTAAATTATATTAAATGTTCGGGATACAGTCATTCCCTCAAGTGAATTTATATTGTTGAAAAGTAATATACATTTTGAATGTATTGGCATGCTGATATAACCTTCCCCCTCGGCATTCCTTTTATCAATTCACATTCAAGAAATGGGTGTTGTAAAAGTCTCGTATAATATAGTCATGAATGCTCTCAAGACTGGATGCTCTTTTAAGTTTAACCATGAAATGTAACCATCTGTCCATGAGTAAAAAATCAGAGGCATTTGAGCTACTTACCAGCAACACGCACCGTATGGCTGTGGCAGTGCGACATACGTGTAGCGAAGAGGACAGTGTAACACATGATGTCTTTATCCTGCTGAACCGCTCATACCCTTCCTTTCTGCCTGTTGTCTCGTAGGCTATCCACTCTGTTGCCTGGCATCACGAGGGCAAGCAGTTCGTTTGTAGTCACTCAGATGGAACTCTGACCATATGGAACATCAGAGGCCAGGGCAAGCCCATACAGACAATCACACCACACGGTAAGATGCTGAAGACACACACGTACACACAAGAGCTGTCGGAGCTCATTACTTAATCTACTTAACAGATCACGGATTATGTAGTGATCTGATTATGATAGCGCTATAATTTTATCTTTAAATATATTTCTGTGCACATGCACTTGAACTCAGTTGTGACATGTCCAAAATCTCTTTTAGTATGTAACTGATAAGGTGACACTGTCTCAATTTAGTATTGACCAATTTAGTATTTTAACCCTTGAAATGATTAAATGATTGGGAAATAATCTCTTGACAATAAACTATTTTATGTGGTAGTATTACAAGCAACTAATTGCATATGACACATCATTTCCTCCAGTTTTTAAGCGGAAGGTCTCAAAAAGACTACGATACCACCTTATGACACGTATGAAATAGTTTTTTTTTTTCAACAAGGTGATTAAAAAATAACCTTGGGTTTTTAGCAACATGTGCAATTTTTCTTTAAAAGTAGGGAGCAAAAGAAATGGAATCCCCAAGCAACTAGCTACAGAATTTGAATGACATCTGTAAGTGATGTCCTTAAAATATAAATCCACTACCCTGACACAGGACCCGAGAGATGCATTTGATCCTTCAGTTGATCCAGGTATTGCTCACCATAGCCGAGTCAGAAATAGTCTCCATGAAACTAGAGTTTTCAAGAAGCCCCAAGGAGAAAAGGCTGAGGTATGCCAAATGACAAAAGAATTGGACTACAAATCAGTAGCTATAGGTCTTATGGAGGGATGAATTATCCCCAGAGTCTAGACCTGAATATCACTAAAGGACTGTGGGATCATCTTCAAAAAATGGAACGAAAGGAAGCAAACTTCAGAATAACAAGCTTCAGAATATCTGCCAGAAAGCCTGGGGAACAATTTTTTTGAGGACTGCTTAAAGAAATCATATTACAATGCCTTATTTACCGTATTTTCACTTGTGTTTGCACGTGTTTCCAAATTAAGTATAAAAAAGGAAAAACTTTGTGTTGCCGTTCTAAAAAGTGCATTACTGTACCTTTAACATACTTGTCATCATTTAGCTTTATGGGTGATATATTCATTTATAGTAAATGTTTCATCAGGAATAAAAACAGTTAATAAATTGCACGGTTGGATTTCTCCAGATTTACACGCTTTAAACCCTTGCTTTCCTCCCCTCATTGCACCCATCCTTCAGCAGCGTTCCTGCACATGAATCTCTTGTTATTTCCTCGTTTCAATTAGAGGATTATTGTTGGTTCAATTATGTACCGCCTCACTTTGTTTTACCTTGTGTTTCCCTGTGTGTACTTTAGTGCTGCTACTCTGTTTATTTCCCTCTGTAAGCAAGTCTGCTCCTTTGATGATGTGTTTTAATCCATACCCCCCCCCCTGCACACCCACACACCCCTCCTCACCCCATGAAGTACTTTGAGAGTTCACAGATGAAGGACCCAGAGAAGTAGACAGGTTATATGAGAGCAGTAACAGGGTAGAGAAAAAATAAACCAGAGAGGAACAAGGAAAGAAGGTTTCTCAAGCTGTTTTTGTGTGCTATGGATTGCAGAAAGGATTTTAGATTTTGCCACACAAGCTTTTTAATTAGTTGTCTCCCCCATAGCTGCATACATAATTAGTTTGGTGTTTAATGGGCAATTATGCAAATTCCAACGGCAGATTTGAGTAAGGCTTTTAAGTCCTCATTTGATTGTATTTTTTTATATCCATTATTAAGATGTAATTATTAATGTTCCTCTTTTATTTAGGTTTGCAGGACAGGCTTACTTTGCCACCGCAGCAGTTCATGTATTTGACCTTTTTCTCTGAATCAGTAATATACTGAATACGTTTCCTCCACACTCACATCTCCTGAGATATGAACAGGTAGATTCTTGACATCATCTACAATCCCCACACCTCCTTTGCACACGCCTGGTCCTGCATTTGTCTTTATGTGAGATAAATAGACCTCTGTTGTCTGGCTACTATTCAGTCCAGAATTTTAAATACCTCTTCTGGGGAAAAAAATTCAGATGAACAGGAAGAAAGGAGGAGTGAACTGGCAGAAGAAAGTAACTTCTGTTTGTTCTATTTCAGGAAAACAGCTCAAGGATGGGAAGAAGCCAGAGCCGTGTAAACCCATTCTTAAAGTCGAGTATAAAACAACTAGAAATGGGTAGGTTTCCTATTCCTCTTGAATGCAGAGTATTAAAAGTGTACAGAACTATGGCAAATGTTAAAAGCTGCTTTCTTTAAAGGTGCATTTCAGCAGCAACACCTTTTCTGACTAGATACAGTATAATAATAAATGTGATTTAGAAATGTAAATAGTTTGTTTTAAGTAACTCAATTGCAGAAAAAGTTGTCTTCATATAGTCACATGATCAGAGTGTTCTGATCTGCAGTGCGTGTAACAGATTAGCAGAACAGCTAAGCAGATAATGGTTCAGTTAAGCAATGTCCAAATGACCGTTGGATTGTTAACTTATGTGTATATGTGTTATAGGGAACCCTTCATAATCTTCTCTGGTGGTTTGTCCTATGACACGGTGGGAAGAAGGCCATGTTTGACAGTAATGCACGGGAAGAGTACTGCTGTGCTGGAAATGGACTATCCCATAGTAGACTTTCTTACACTATGTGAGACACCATATCCCAATGGTAGGATACGTTTGATCAGTATGTGTGCATGATGCTTTGCATGCAAATGTGATTCATAATTCTGTGGAGGGTATAATCCTATCTTGCTATTGCACACACAAAATAGAGAATGTATTGTTAGTTTTTTTTGTTTGTTTTAGTTTGTCTTTTAATGATGTAGTCAGTAACAACTAAAACAAATCTAACTGGAATTGAACGGCATAGATCCCGGAATGGATGTAATCCTATATGTAATCTTTGTTGCTGAGTAATATTGCACATATACAGTTTTTCAGAGGTATTAGAGTTATGTAACAATGAGGAAATCATTAAGTCACTAGAATTCAGATGTCCCCATCCACTGCTTTAATCTGGTGATGGACATAACTGGGTTTGGATTATTGCACAATACATATCTTGCAGATGTTTGGAAGTCAAACATGGATAGGATTAATCTCTGAGACTGATAGAGGCGTTCAACCACCATGGGCATTGATCTATTTAAATAATAAGCATTGATCTCTCCTGCTCTTTTAACTTCAAGGCATGAATTTGATTTCAATTAAAGTGTGAAGAATTGTTCCTATTTGTTTTACAGAAGCAACAGAGGTCTCTCTCAAGAAAGTGCACGAATGGTGAAACTCTGATGCAGTAAATCATTTGTCCTGATATCTTTCATCCTGCAGATTTTCAGGAACCTTATGCTGTGGTGGTCCTTTTAGAAAAAGATTTAGTGGTGATCGACCTTGCACAAAACGGGTTAGTCTTATTTTTCAGAAAGCTCAACAGTTTGGCTGCTATTTTCTTTCTTAAAAATGGGCTGGCTGTAAGTTTATGTTTTTATATGCTATTCATTACAGGTTATTTTCATAAATCCCTACCAAATGATTCTAAACTAATGTTAGATTAGCATATAGAACTGAATGAGATCAATGCTGCCAGACTAATTACATAACAGTAACTTGTATGCCAACATTCAGAAACCCTATTTCTTTTATAGTTACCCGATATTCGAGAACCCATATCCTTTGACTATCCACGAGTCTCCTGTGACCTGCTGCGAGTACTTTGCCGACTGCCCTGTGGACCTCATACCTGCACTTTATTCTGTTGGCTCACGGCAGAAACGACAGGGCTACAGTAAAAAGGTATCAGTACTGTTTTCCATGCTCATTATTTTGTTGGGAAAAAGAGTCAATTGAAAAGTGGAGATGAATAGTATGAATGACTAAACTCTATAGGTAAACTGATAGTTTTTTAAAAAAAAATGTATATATACATTAGAAACACTTTTTGTTACACTAAGGAAGTAAAGTTTTTCTGTGCAGTGCTAAGCATAAATATGATAATTTGTTGTTTAAACTATTTAACTACTCTATTGTTAGACTTTATATTAACGTGTCAAGCCCCCCAGAGCACTTCTGTATGACTCCTCTGTGAAACAATGCATGAAATAAAATTCCAAGGAAATTCCAAAAATACCTTATGAGTGGAAGTTTAATACCACCCATGCAGGCTTTAAGATTAATTTAGACAGCATACAGAGCATGCTTGGGTACAATCAATGATTAATTATGCATAACAGTGTGATGCCATTCTTAGGGTGCACTTTACCTTTTTGTCATTAAGGATAAAGGTGTTTTTTAAAAACACGAACTTCCAAAATCGCAAATATAATTTTAAACCACACACTCATACTGCTGTAAATCATGCCGAAAAGGTATAGTTTCAGTACACTTTCGCTGTTGCTGCAAATTAAAGTGCAGCTAAACCTGTCTTAGTGCTGTGAAAGTATACTTCATATTGCTTTCTGTATATTTATATGTACCAATTTCATTCATCTCTCATCTTCTTCTGTTTTCCCGGTGTCAATGTGGACAGACCCCCTGCCCTTTCAGCCGTTATGTATTCTTATGTTCTTTTCCTTGTCACCTTGTTCAAGCTTTCTGTTGTAAATGTCAGCATGCACCGACCTGAACAAGCAGCCTAGCCTCTTCTTTTTTTTTTCCTTCTCTTTTTTTTTGTTAAGCAAAAGCCTGCCTGAGCTGCAGGAGGGGGGGGCGGCGTTCTCATGTAAAGATCACTGAGTCATCCTAGTGACCTTTGTATGTGTCAACGTGTTCTGAGACTAACCCCCACTAACATGCACACGCTCCCAAATGAAAACACTCTAAGGTGCATGATATGTAATTGCAAGGCACACTGAAAGAGAACACACAAAGGGGCTCCTGTATGGTTTCCTGTGTAGACTGCCACGAGGGCAATATTATCATGTCATCGTCTTTCATAATCAGTGGGTTTATTGACATAGCTGTTGCTGTAAGCCGACTGAATCACTAACTAATGCGTGTGTCTCCTCTTTATCCAGGAATGGCCCATTAGTGGTGGAAACTGGGGTCAAGGCACACAAAGCTACCCCGAAATCATCATCACTGGGTAAGATGATGCTGAATCTCGTTAGTGTCATTATCATCAGCATCCAGGAGGCTTCAGTCACTTTCACCTGTCAGGTCGCTAGAGATGCTGTCTTGATTATTTTGCTGTAGGCCTTTATGCATTTCAATCATGTGCACTTTGCTCCATTTTGATGTTCATCATTTCACACTGGAATGTCAACAAGCAGAGAAGGGGAGTTTTAAACAGAAAACGCACACCGAAGAGGTGACATTGAGTTATTGCTGGTGGTGCTAGGAAGCTCTTACTCCTATTTTTTTCCTCTCTGTACCCTGTACGTGTCGCATTCAATATTCTGTCCAGGTTTCTTTCTCTCCTTCTGAGCACCACAGCCTGCAAAATCATTTGCACCCAATCCTCTCAACTAAAGTGGCAACAAAAATACGGAATGCAGGAAAAAATATGTGACACTAAAACGGGAACTATTATTGTGTCAAGGATTAGCACTCTAACATTTGGCACATATTCTTTCCACTAAAGTTAGGATGGTGAGAGAGAGCGCTCTGTAGCTTAAAAAAATTAGGTTTATTTATTTATTTATTTTTTCCAAGACCGAAACAACAATGGAAATCAAATTAACTCTTCATCCATTCTCTATTTCCATCCATCTCTTTTTTTCTTGCATTTCCAGGCATGCTGATGGAACTGTGAAGTTCTGGGATGCTTCTTCAAGTAAGTTCTTCTAAATAATGAGATTTATTTTTTCTTATGTGCAGTGCTATCCCGTTGAACCTTTAAAAATGGAGGAATCATGAAAGAAAATAGCAAAAATAATAATGATAAAAAACAAACCTCTAAATTTTTTTGCTAATTTTCCCTTGCAGGAGTGCCAGTACTCACTGACTCGCACAACGTAAATGTGCAGTGATGATAAAAGCTTTCCATTCCTTCATTTAGCACTGGGTTCTCCGTCTCACACTGTATGATTCTGCGACTGAAAACTTTCCCCCTCATTTTTTACAGTAATGCTCCAGGTGCTCTATAAGCTAAAAACAGCCAAGGTATTTGACAGGAACCGGTCTAAGGATGACAAGGGCAGCACTGAAGTGTCAGACGAAGATCCCTTTGCCATTCAGATTATGGCCTGGTGTCCAGAGAGCCGGATGCTTTGTGTGGCAGGGGTGTCAGCCAATATGATCATCTACCGCTTCAGTAAGCTGGAAGTAACTACTGAGGTAGTGCAGGTGGGTTTTGGTTGGTACCTTTATTACTTTTCAAATTCAAAACGCGCATATTCTCCCTTTTTCCTCTTTTATTTAAAGTCACTTCCTTGCTTCCACACAAGTAAGAGACCCAATCTAATGGATGCCCTTCATCAAATATTTCCTCTGTGTTTGTTATGAACTGCCCACACCATTAACTTTCTCCTCTACTTCAAGATGCTGAACGGTGTGCACACCCAAATGCATGCTCACAAACATAGACACACACACACACACAAAGATGTGCCGAGTCAAAGGCACTATGGTTGCTATGCCAACAGACAGCACAATGAACAAGCAAAGCTGGACCAACATTATAATCTGCCTTGAAAGCAGCCTAAGTGTTAATGGCAGTGTGATGCTGTGTTTAATGGATTAAAGAGAAATGCAGCAATGCTTACGGCTCTTGCATTAAGTGAGAAGTTGTGCACGTGTAAGGCACAGCTTTGCAAAAAAAACGAAATTGGCTCCTACTGCCTTTACAGGAATTAAGACTGTTAGTAGCAGCCCAGTGTTGCATGTTGGAGCACCTGTGGTATGCATGTCCTGTACATTTATGTGCATATTAAAACATCCCATTGTGTTCTCCCCTTGGTCAATGAGGAGTGACAAGAGAAAGTCTCTACAAAAATATATGGCACAAAGAATTATTAAACTGTCAAATGTGTTTAGATAATTTTTGGTGGAACATTTCTTGCTGTTGTTGGTTATCATAATAATCAGAAACATGGTCCAGTTTTTGTGCGACGACTGTGGTGTTGCTGGAGTGTACTTGCCAATCGTATTATGTGGGCACTTCTCTGCTGTGTGAAGCTGTTCCCTTTTTTCACGTTTTTCTTTTTGAGTTAAGTACTCTTTGTCCTGAATATCTAAATATAAAGAAATATTCATGCATTTGAAGGATCTGACTGAAATAAACTGCCTTCGTGATTGAAGCTTGGCACTTTTTCTCACTCTGGTTCATTGCCAGTGACTATTGATCCACGTGTTTTGGGAAGTTTTTGGCCCCTTTCCCGCATTCAAAGTGCTGCAGCATGGATAGGGACGGAATATGCAGATGAAGTGAGCTGTCAGTTGGAGGACTGCCTCTCTTTGAATAAGGCCATACACCTCTCTCACCTTGCAGGAGTGAAGGTAGAGGAGAGACAATCTGAAAGAGAGCTCTCTTCACACCCACACATCAGTGAGGCTAATGAGACTGGCAGAATGCAAAAGAGAGGAGCTTATGAGCATTGTGTGTGAGTTTAGCAGTTGTGTGTGTCTGTGGGCGCAGGTTGAAAGGGGTAGCCAGAAGGAGGATTTAGAAGAAATGGAATATTTTAGTATTGGAAGATCTCTTTGACTCTCAGTCGGCCCACTCATGCACACACGTCAAATAAATTCACATTATTGAAGCGACACTGGGAATTTATTCAAAACGTCGTTCAACCTCATCGTTTTATTTTTGTCTGTTGTTTAGCTCCTGATTTATCGATCTGCTCATACTGGATGTCCTCTTTTGTGCCCGCTTGCCTGTGCACGGCTGTGCGTGCTCACAGTTACTGGAGGTGCGAATGCAGTATGAACTGAATGATACAGAGTCTCCAGATGTTGGCGGTGAGCAGACGTCGGCACATCCCACCCCAGGTGCCTCCCCTCAGACGAGTGGCCCGCCTTCACACCCATCCACCAGCAGCAACAACTCTGACGGAGGCAACATACCCTGCCTGAAGTATGACAAACACACACACACACACACACACACAAACACATGCAGAGGCCCTGACATGAACTCTTTTAAGCAGCCAGAGCACTTCCAAACACATCACACACACACACACACACACACAAGTGTCTTGCTTTTTGCCTCAAGTACACTTGCACTGACTAAGCCAGTGCCTGAAGCATTCTCAGCCACAACCTCCCCATCATCCCCTTGCAACCACTCGTGCCAGACTCTTGACACACGGCTGCGTCGCAGCTGCAGCTGCACCACTCGTCATTCTCACACATCTCTTTTGGTTTTGTTTCGTCCTCGTCGGTTCGGCATCGCTTTCTCACGTATTTCTTTCCCTTTGCCCCCTTCAAAGAGTGCGCAGTACTCCGCTGAAGCAGTCTCCAGGTTACCAGGTAGACTTGGTGGTCCAGTTAGTGTGGGTGAGTGGAGAGCCTCCTCAGCAGATCACAAGTCTGGCGCTCAATTCCTCTTATGGCCTGTAAGTGTACACAATGTAAAGCCTCCACAATAAAAATTAAATTAAAGTATTATATGGAATTAGATGTATTGATTCTGTATCGGTATGTCTAATCAGCTTATAAAAAGTAAGATGGATGCATTTCCTGACTGCACCATTTGTGGCCTATTTGTCTTGTCAGTCTCTTTATCTTCATCTGTTTCACAAACCTTTACCTTTCCTACTCCTTCCTCCTCCTCTTTGTCGCCGCTCCTCAGGGTGGTGTTTGGCAACAGTAACGGGCTGGCTGTGGTGGACTACATCCAGAAAACAGTGGTACTCAACTTGGGGACGGTCGAGCTTTACGGTTCCAACGACCCCTACCAGAGACAGCCTCGGTCGCCAAGAAAGACACGGCAGCCTTCAGGAGGTAATCAACTAAAAAGGACAGCTTGTGCTTTTCCGACCAGACACAGCAAGGCTTTTATTCTTCTTTTGATCAAACTACATTATCTATATATGTTTTTAAATTGCTACTGTGAACGTCATGTGAAAAAGCAGTTTTTGACTCTGAAGTGTTTGGAAAGCCTGCTATCATGAAGTGAAAAAATAATATTACATTATTTTACTCTTTGCAAAAAATACATTCAAGTCTTTTTATTGTATTCGTATACACACAAAGGATATAACCATGGTTCAAATGGAACGGTGAATTTCTGGTGATATTATTAAGTTTACTGAGGCATAGAAATCGGTCCGTGTGCTTTTCCTTTTATTTCATTGCCCAGATTTTTCACTTATTGTTAATTTGCCTACCATTTCAAATGGTTTTTTTTTTCCCATCATAAATTTGACATTTCATTAAACAGGGGGAGTTGTTGTTGCAACTAAAAGTCCAAAGCCACATCTGCACATTTCCTCATCTAAACTGTTAGCTAATCCAAATATGTGAGTTAATACAGTAACTCAACACACAACTTATGGAGATGATGCTATCCGACCAGAGTTTACCTGTCTTACACATGCCAGACAACACCTCCACCTACCCTTTTCTTTGGGTATTGATCGACTTTCTTTGTTTAAGGACCTTTCTCAGCCTCTATCACTTTGCCTTTCGTTTACACTCTCACAGCCCAGCCATTTACACAGAGCAGCTTCATTTCCTCTGACGGATAATGGATAACACTTTCAGCATGGACACACTGCCACCATGTGTTAGACAACGGCAGAGCATCCAATTTGAAGCTGCTGCAGAGTCATGATCATGCACAGCCAATGAGTTTGATTGATGAATTGTGTGTCTTGGCGCTGATAAATAACTTTTTTTAATACGGTGGGACCACAGGCGCAATTATGCAAAGCGTTTCACAGACAAAATATTGCTTAAACGCACACACGCACATACACACACACATATATCTCTACATGTTTGGATATTCAGAGGAATATGCATGTGTGAATACAAACCGAGCATCTGGTGTCAGCGACTGGTGAGCGGTGGGCTGGCACCTGTCAGAGCTTGGCGAGTGTGAGCTGTAATCAGCCAACCAGCTGTGCTCCGTGTCATCAGGGACAGTGTCCGCTTGGCTTTCTGCCCAACAGGAGAATGTCACACACAAATAAGAAAAATGAAAATAAAAGAAAAACATGCAAGTGGGAATAGGGAGGGGTGGGGTAAGCATTCATACTGGATAAAACCAATCTGCTTGTCTGTCAAAATAATGGAAATGGAATTATTCATTTGAGCATGCACTCGAATCCGCTCACCCAAAAAGAGCAGACAAAATGATCCACCTTTCAGATTTTGGATTTAATGGCAATTCATGTGATGTCTGCCACAGGTCTGTGTGACATCAATGAGGGCTCAGCCACATCAGAGGACCGCTGCAAATCCCCTACTTCAGGTAACATGTCCTTCAACGTATTAATGAAAAGCAAGGCAGAGAAATCTATCAGAAGCTTTGTGCCACGCAGATATAGGGCCCAAAGAGGGAACCAGTGACACATATACCTGCTTTCTCTTGTATGTGAGAAGTGTTGGTGAGGGAGGAAGATTGAATTGCTCACCAAAGTGGAACTATGTGGAAGGCTTTTTTCTTTCCTGTAAAACCATTAAATTGTCTGGTTGTCGATATCACTCTTCCTCTGAGCTCAGAAAGGTGCCGGTTACGTTTAATATCATACAGCTTTGTGTTTTGGAGAGTATATGTGTGTGCACGTTCCTTAAATGTGTTCAGTGGTAAAATGCATGGAATATATTTCTTTTCATATCAGTCAGTACACATGGAAATTTGGTGATAGGAAGTGATGGTTTAATTCAGTGTGACTGATTAGAATCATGACTTGAATACAACTATAAACAAAACTCTTCGTTCTGAAGTTAAAAGGTCCATGAGTATTTTCTGCATATTAATTGACTGCATTATGGCGTAATTTGGAAAAATATTCATTGGACTTGTGCATGACATTTCCTGCAAAGATTATATAATTTGACCTTTTTCTTGTTAAGGGAGCTGCTTAAATTTGATAATATAACTGTCTGGGTGTGCTGCATTCAACCCTCCTCCTGCGTTATCCTATCAGTGAGGTCTCATATGCTCAGAATTCCCAGAGGAGAGCAAAAAATAATAATTTTCCTCAATGAAGAGTTTTTCTGCTGAAGTGAGATGTTTGTCAGCTTGCTTTTGTGAAAATTTCCATCCCTGATATTTCAATATGCCAGAAGACAGAACAAAGTTTTGTCTCGTTATGGGTCACTTGGCATAAGCACAATGAAAATAAGGAGCCATTTAGAAAGGTCAGATGGAAATCACATCTCAAAGTCTTCCGGCTGCTGTTTTCAGGTGTGATTGTAGTCCCAACCCCTATGTCTGGTAACGCCAGACTGTGGTCTGGTACATCTGTCTGCTTTGCATAATTCATGGGATGGAGCAAGATAAGGGACTGCCCAGAAAAAAACCCAATGTCCTCAACATGTCATTTTGTCCAGGCTTTTGTTTTTTTTCTTTTACCTTTTAGGTCAGTGCTGAAGTGTGGAAATAAAACATACATTTTTACTTTTGCAGTCAAACTATCACCAGTTTTAGGAATTTGGTACAAGGTTACTGTGTCCTCATTTGCAATGACTCTTGATTTTTCTTGCTGAAATTGTGAAAAATGACAACAAAACCAAATGTGACGAAACAAATCACTAGCAAGATGGTACACACACATTTCCACAGCTTCTTTTTTTCCGTTATTGAAAATAAAACCTACTTCGGGTTATTTGATGATAAGGATAATAACAGAATGCAATAATAATGATCTCTTCAGTCTAGTATCAAGCAAGAAAAAAGCTTTAAAAAATGCAAGTGACAAATATTGCATGAGGCATAATGTCTCTGGGATGAATCGGTTTGAAGGTTTTTCTTGTTTGACCAAAATCACTGTGCTAAACCAGCATTACTGAGGTACAGAGACCATTTTGTGACTCTGGAAAAAATAACTGCGACACATTGTATGTCGTAAAAACATCTGAGTGTTTCTAACTGCACATTGACTGTACTTTACTTTCCTCCTACACCCCAAAAGTCTTGATGTCACACAGCAATCTACAGCAATTCTACAATGGAGGTGGTAGAGGAGGTAAGATTGGCCAAACATTTCCTTGTGAGGCTGTGTAGGCCGGGAAGACATGGTCCAGCTTCTTTTTCTTTTGTTTTTCCTTATTGTGAAGAAACTGTTTGTCCTCATGTTTGTAGTCACCAAAATGGGATGAAATAGACTATAGAATTAAGAGAAAAAGGTGTATTCTACCTCAAGGTTTAACTCTGTTCCACCATCTTTTGGGCCTTTATGTATTTTGTCAAAATACATTTGTATTACTTTGTTATTCACATTTGCTATTACAGCATTGGCTCAATTCAAATAGAACATTTAAAGGACTAAAAAGTTCTTGGATCAGAGGATTACCTGGAAAACGATGGGAGTGCAGCTGTCCATAGGCACCTTAGTTGTCTGATACACATTTTGCATGCTACTTGTATGTAGCACGAGTGTCGGATTGTAAATGTGTTTGGTTTGATATCTGTCCTGATGATTGTCCAAAGTATGGAATGACACCACAGAACAAAAGGAACAACTCATCTGTCCAACTATGTCTTTGTTCCCCTCTCGTATGTGTTGATGATAGCAATAAAAAAAACGGATAACATAAACATATAATAACATTGAATTAGTTGTAACTAAACTAGTTGAAAAACACCATAAATTGTTCGTAAACCCTTTAAGTTTTCCATATTTCTGCATAAGTTTGTCTTTCTAATATCTTGAAAGTAAAGAAAATAGTTATTCAATTGAGGTAAGAATGATACTTTCTGTACATAATACAAAATGTCAACTGAGGGAATCAACCCAGTCAGGTTTGAGTAGGTGATGTTTCTGTATGAGAAGAATCCTCTGTCCATTGATCTTCACAGCACATTTTTTTATGTTTAATGTGGTACAAACACATTCACAAGGACCTCAAAATTAGCATTGTTGCTGGCAACTGGCTCACAATTTAATGCTAAATGCGGAAAAATTGACAAGATGTGCACAAATGAGGGAATTGGGGATTATTGTCCCTCTCCCAACAAAGTTCAAACCAGCCCAGAGTAACTTGTAAGCAGCTGTAAACTCCCTCACATTGATTAACGCTCAGGGTCATGTGTCCATCATCAAAAGAGACTAAATAAAAATACCACTGCCTAAAAGGAAGGAGACACTGCCTTCAGCTGATGAGCTAAAGATATCTTACGGGTTTGTTTTGTACAAATATAAGCAGAGATAGGATTTCAACAGTTATGTTTGGTCTGCAGATGATCCCCTGTCTTTATTAAAGAGTATTAATTTCCCGTTCATTCTATGTAAACAGTTTCTAATCTGATTTTTCCAGCTAATTCTATATAAAGGCTCACAGATCACATGTGACCACCACTTTTCAGGGAGAAATGGCACGCAATAATAAACTTTCTGCAACAAAACAAGAGGCACTGGCCAGGTTTGATCTACCAGCGCTACTATATTTGAGATACGGGAGCCTTAGGCAGTCCTAGATCAATTAACATACCCTCCAGCAGATAATCCTTCTCGTGGTCTAACACTGCAGTTATGTCACTGAACGTAAGATATTAAGCGTCACTTAAGACCGTCTCAAATCCGGCCAGTACAGACATATGAGTAGAAGGGTTATGTCTCCTGTGTATCAGCTTTTTAGGTAATTTGATTTAATTCCAAAACTATAAATAGGTTCTTCTTTTGCCATGCTCCAGCAGGTTTTAAAGCATTTAATCTGAAAGATTTTTCATAATTTAGATGAAGGCCAACCAAGCAGACTCTTGGCTAGGTACCAGATTCAACCTAATTAAGTGACAGTTGTGGGAGCCAAAAACAGTGTCCTTAAAGAAAATGAAAGGTAAACAATTGTTGAAAGGGGGCTGGACATCACAGAGCCTCTAAAACTTCATTTGTGTTGTCTCAGGTTTCCACATCATACCTCTTTACATTATTAAAGATAAAAGCAAAATGATGCACAGACATCAGCAAAACCAGATTAAAGAGGTGCAATCTAAACCTAACTTTACTACCAGTACACAATGTTTGCTAGGATTTCTTATCTGATATTTTGCATTTCTCTCAGGTTTTTGCAGCAGTAACTTAATAAATGCCAAAATAATACCTCCTATCTAATATCGAAGGATAAATCTATTTCTGCACACTCGATGACTGTCTCTTGTTGCCATCTGTCTCTTACTGTACTTATTGTGTCCTGCAGACAGAGAAAATAGCTTTTCACACTTGTGAAAGATGGCATGTTTTGCACAATATAAAGAGACAAGCTGCAGTTAGCCATCTTTTACCATCTTTTTCACCGTTTTCTTCCATCATCTGCGTTTAGAATTAATTCCTTGTTCTTGGTGCATGCTCATTTGGCATGAAGGTCCTGAGTAGCCCCGTAGGTTTTTTCTGTCTTACAATCCTTTTGTTTTTCAGGGCATTGTGCAACCAGAGATCACCCTCTTATTCTGTTTTGTCTGTCGCCGCATGCTTCCTATGTTTACAGGGTTGTTTCTCTGTGTTTTCATGCAGTCTCTTATTATGTGTGAAGCATTTTGGTCCTCTTGTCAACAAACGACAGTCCCTTGGCACTTGATCCACGGCCTTCGGTCATTTTGGTGTACTTGATCCTTGTGCACAATCCTCGTCCAGTGGTATCTACCTGGCTTTGCATGGCATCATGTGTTAGCTTGGACATGTATTTGTAAAGAGGGATGTTCTCTTTTTTCCAGCAAAGATGTCACGGAAATTAAGCTTGCCTACTGAGCTAAAGCCAGACTTGGGTAAGCCTTGACTTTGTGTCTCAAAGCAATATCTATAAGTTGCCTTTTGCTTTACTTACTCAGGCTGGACTCAACTTCATTCCATTAGTCCAGTTTTATCAATTTATTTGTCAAATTTGTCAAGCTTTGCAGATGTTCTCCTAAGTTTGCATGAGTCAAAATTAGCACTGATCTGATCTGAATTAAAAAATTTCTGAGCTAATGCACTGTTGAAATTTGCAACCCACTTTTAAAATCCTTTTTCTTTTTTTAAAAAACATTATTTTTCTACAACAGGTCGGTGGTGCTAAGCGAAACTTCGCTCACCTCATCGCTTTCTATAACTTTTGCTGCTTTCTTTTTTCTTCTGTGTTCTTCATTTTCTTTTCTCTGTCTGGTTGGGTCTTTGGATATGAAGACGTTTCTTCTTTAGTGCTATTACATCTTGTTCATGAGTACCAGAAAAGAATGTTAAATGTTGATTCATTTCAGCGGGTCTAATTAAAATATGCCGTGCCAAAACCTGGTTTCCTGTACAAGTGTTATTTCTTTTTTACTTCACCAGTCCCAGATCAGTGGTTAACTCTTTATTCCAACTTCTGACTGTGGGTGGAACAATTTAAGTGAATGGGAATTTCATTTTTTTTGGACAATGTAAGCTGGCTCTGATGTTTATTAAGTAAGAATTTTATGTATCTGCCTGGTTATCTAAGATTATATAATTTCTTATAAAGATCAATTCAGAATGCTACACAGCTTTTTTTGAAAAGAATTTGTTTTCAAAATATCTAAATCTTTTCAAACATTTCAGTGTAATATGTGATGTCACTGCTTTGCAGATGCTTTACCTCTCTCTGTTTTCTCTTTACTGTCCTCCTGTCCGTATGCCTGCCACGGGGTGCCAACCCATTAGACCACCGGGACAACTCCTTTAGCCGCTCGCGCTCCTCCAGCGTCACCAGCATCGACAAAGAGGCCAGAGAGGCCATCAGCTCCTTCCACTTCTGCGACACCTTTGCACGGAAGGGCGACAGCACCCTGACACCCTGCCTGTATGTGGGCACCTCTCTGGGAACCGTGCTGGTTTTAGCGCTCACACTGCCACCTGCTGGCGAGCAGCGGCAGCTGCAGCCAGTCATTATTTCACCCACGGGTAAGCCACAAACTTTAACAGCACACAGAGAAAGAAACATTTCCCTTTCTCTTCTCTGTTAAATTCCTGAGATAGTATGAGAGGAAAGTGTTTGAAAGTGTGTTTTTCTAATTTCCTTTTTTTGAACATTTATTCATCATTTTAGTTTTTGGTCCGTTTATTAGTTTGTAATTATTCATACATAACATATAATAACATTAAATTTGTTGTAACTGTAGTGAAAACCAGCATAATCTAAGGTTAAGCTAAGCTTAAAGTTGTGGTAACGCAATTCTCCCAGAGAGGGAGGATAAGAAAGGAAAAACGTACTGATCAAGGTTGTGTTTTTTTTTCTTCTTGTCACTCTTCTTATTTTACAATTGCAAAGTTGTAAAATCCATCCATAAAGTGTCAGTAACGCCTTTTCGTTGAACTCTTCAGGTATGTTGGTACGGCTCAAAGGAAGTGTTATGCGCATGGCATTCCTGGACTCTACAGGTTCCCTCCTGCCACCTGCACATGAACCATGGTTTGAACCCAACGTTACGGCAGATGGTGAAGAAAGGGAGAAGGTCCGCAAGCGCCGGCCGGTTTCTGTATCCCCGTCCACCTCCCAGGACCTCAGTGAGAGCCAGTATGCTGTGGTGTGCTCTGAGAAACAGGCCAAAGTTATTTCACTACCCTCCCAGACCTGCATCTATAAACACAGTATCACAGAGACCTCCTTCATCTTACGGGCAGACGTGGTGCAAATGAGCCAAGGCGTGTGTGTAGCTTGTTTCTGTGCCAACGGACACATCATGACCATCAGGTGAGAACTATTTCCTTTATGCTGTACTGTCAAAAACAGTGATTTTCTATCTGAATGCTAATCAAGACTTTGACGAGGGCAGTTTTGTCTCAATTACGATCCATTCTATGGAGAAAACTTTCTTTAAAAAAAAACAACAACACAAATGCAGTTTTCGATGAGCTAACATTATATCTGCTGCTGCCTCAGCACCACAAGATGAACAATTTGAAGAACTGCGTATTTTTGTTGTATTTTTATTATTTGTTGAATTTATATTGTCAATAAACAACAGCTGAATATTCATAAATACATGCCTCATCTGCTGTAAACAGGTTCTTTATTTGTCATCCTGCTTCCGGGAGATGCAGAGACACATAATGTACCTTGTGCACACTCCCTCAGACAAGAAGGTGCTGAAGATGGATAATATTTATAAGTAATTATGCTCCAAAATTGAGTTTCTGTTCTTAAAATTGCCCTTTGATTTAGAGATTCTAAATATGGCTTGGCAAAAGTATTGGAAGGCTTGTAGACTACTGTGCCTAGACCAATTTTCATTATCATTATTCACTTTTATGATCTTTTTTCATTATTATTTAGCAATCATGCCGTTGATGCTGTTAATGGTTATCTATTTTCTATAAACCTTGAAAATGTGTGTCTTATCTCCCAATTAAAACACTGTCTTACCCACAAAAGGAGCAGGGCTGGCACACACCCAAATCAGGCCAACAGATTGTCTGAAGAGCAGAGTTATCAGACAAGGCTCATCATATAGTTTAATTTCTTAATGCTTTGCTTTTGCACAATTTCTTTAACATCGGACATATTTATCCTCATGCACAGCTACAACAAAACTTCCCTCTGAGTATTTTATATGGCAGAACTGCAACTGACTTCCAACCCCATTTTCCAAATAGTATACCAAGGCTTAGACATTAGTGGAAGTGACTTCGAAAAGGTCGGGAATGTAGCACACAGACACAGACAGCAGGTTAATTTACGTGCAGACAGCAACCAGGTTTAAGCGAGGAGGGATGTGGTAGTCTGCCACCCATCATCATTAATTTTAGCTTCCATTGGGAAGTGAAGCAGAGATGGAAGAGCCGTCCATATGGGTGTCGGATAAATCAGGAATAACAAGCTGTGTCCTTGGCTGTTTGCGTTTATGTAAATGTGAATGTTTCTGCTTGTTGTGTTGTTTTTTTTTTCGAGAGATCAGAATTTTTAGCATACATTGTTGGAAAATAAATTTGCCATGATTAAAAACTGAAATACTGCCCTTTTAGAACTTATTTGAGCAACTGAATCAACTCAAGAAAAGATATGACATGGGTATTTAACAGCATTTTTTTTTAAATAACCATCATTTTAAAATTCCACTATTTGTGTGCCTCCTGTCCAGTGTGCCGGGACTGAGACCGCTCGTGGATGTAAATTACCTACCTTTGACAGACATGCGGATAGCCAGGACATTCTGTTTCACCAACCTGGGTCAGGCCATGTACCTCTGCTCCCCTACTGAAATCCAGAGGATCACCTACAGTCAGGATACTTGTGAAAACTTACAGGTGAGCGAGTCATTCTATGTATAGCAGACCTTGTATCTCATAAGTTGGTAGGTGTAAATAAGTATACATACATATTGAGAATGTCACAAAAAATGCAAATCTTTCAGGAGATGCTGGGTGAACTTTTCACTCCAGTGGAAACACCAGAGGCACCAAACAGAGGGTTCTTCAAAGGCCTCTTTGGAGGAGGAGCACAGTCACTGGACAGAGAGGAACTGTGTACGTTAGTCACATACCGCATATCATTTACTTAAAAAGTACGGCCCTCCTTGTGGATACGATACCACTTCCTTTCTCCTTCACTCAGTTGGTGAGACAGCAGCTGGAAAGGCGTCCCGGAGTCTGGCCCAGCACATCCCCGGCCCCGGTGGCATTGAGGGCATGAAGGGGGCTGCTTCAGGAGTGGTCGGAGACCTGGCACGGGCCCGGATAGCACTGGACGAAAGAGGCCAGAAACTGGGTGAGCTGGATGAGAGGACAGCTGCCATGATGGCCAGTGCAGATTCTTTCTCCAAACATGCCCATGAGGTAAGAGGATCGACACAATGTAATAATCTAGAGTTTGTCACAGAACACTTTGTGCTATTGCTGCAAAGGCACAGTGATCACATACCTAAACCAACCACATCCTCAAACCAACATTTCCTTTGTTTTCAGATGATGCTGAAGTGCAAAGACAAAAAATGGTACCAGTTCTGATAAGTGGAGGAGTGGAGATCTGTGAATCAGTATTTGACTGACCTTCCATTGGCTCATCTGGACTCACCGTGACTCCCAACCATCCGTCTGTCCATGCATTCATCCCGCCAAGCCTTCTTCACTCAAACACTTGGGAATTTCTTCCCTAGCACAATATTGAATACTGTTTTTACCTCAGTCTAAGGGTTGAGCTGAGGGTTAGAGTGGGGAGAAGGACAATCTCAATGGGAGTAAATAAATGGTCTTTTTTATGTTCTTGTCTCTTTGTTTATCTCTGTTCAGCTTCCCCTCCGAGGTAGCAGATTGGCTCGAGCAACCGGAGACTACTTACTCTCATTTGCGAAAATATTCTTTACTTCACTCTGTTCCCTCATGGCAAATAGTCATACCAATAAACACAGCTGAAAGAGACTAATATTAAATAAAAAAGACCTCAAAATTGTACAAAAAAAATGTAAAAAAGAAAAAAAAAGAAGAAAGAAAAAGATTCTAAATACATCATTATATATACATAGATCTAATAAATGTGCAATGCTGTATCCACTTGTGAACTTTTGTACTTGATTGACAAGTATGAAAGAAAGGGATCATTCTTCTGGGAGATGGGAGCAGGTGTTGAAGGCTGATGGAAAATCATTCAAAGTGCGACGAAAGTGAAACGTCCTCTATGCAGAGTGTCACAAGGATTAAAGCAACTCACTCGGATGTACTCTGGATATTGCATTACCTAGCTCAATCTCAAAACTCTTCTCTGTATCTGGCAGACTGACAGCGTGTTCATGTATGTGAGAAAGTGTGTGTTACTTTCAATCATTCCTCTGTTTATTATTAACCGTTGTTTTGTTTGTATTGTTGGAAAATCTCTTTATTTTTCTAATGTGAAAATGATTATATTTAATTCACTGTGGAAAAAAAGAACATTGTGATTTATGTAAAAAAAAAAAAAATCATTATTTTGTCCCACAAGAAAAGGGCTGGAATCTGTAATGAGGGCAGAAATTTAAAAGGCAGTAATCAAACAGACATAGTAAACGTTGGATCTCTTTACTCTGAAAGCAAGAATATGATCTGCAAACAATAACTGTTTACCAGTGTTTATTTGGCGTATCTGATGTGATGTTGAGGATCCCACTCACTGTGGGCTGTGTAACGGCTGATGTACAAACGGGGTGTTGAATACATTAATGTTCCTGCTAGATTTGTTGAGTTGCAGATTCATGACTACAGGTTAACTGGATTAGTTAAAGTAGGACTATGGGAAAGCAGTAGAATCCTAGGAGTGTAAACTTCTGAAAGGATATCATTGGCAACTTGTTTCAGTCGGTTGGTTGTTTGTTGGGGTTTTGTTTTTGTTTTTTTTTGTTTTTTTTCAATGATATACTGTATGAGTGATCATTTTCTGTGGGGCTCCTCTGACAATGTTTATTTATTAACTAAGATGCAAGAAACAGGTTGATGTCAGAAATGCTCACCTTTGTGATTACCTTGTTTTTGTTACCATGTTTGTAGTGGAGTTCACATGTGGTGTATCTCTGTCTACCAGGCTTCTAACCTTTATTTGTATATAAGTAAATAGTTTGACAATCATAGACCAACTAGAAAGTAAATAACTGAGGTTGCTGGAGCAACAAAAAAGGAGACGGGCCATAATTTTTTTCTGACACCAAAGAATTGCTTTAGCTATTCCATTGCATTATTATTGGGCCATGAGTCCGGGAGCAAGTAGGCTCCCTGTAACACGTGTGATACACAGGCGGCATCAGATCTATTTATGAATCATAATCAATTCCTTCACATGACAGGATTTAAGAAGTGAAAAGCTGCAATGGATGGCCATTTATAGTTACACAGTGTCACAAAAGGTGGCGTTTTTCTAATGTTAAATGTTTAAAGAGGCCATGCGATCAGTTAATATGGCTGTTTCATCAAAAGACAGAACCGTTCCACAGCACAACAAACAATATTTATGGTCTTCATCTGTGTGTGAATGTGTGCATTTGTGTGTAAGGCTGTGTCCGTGTGACCCTTTGTGATATTATTTACATTAGGTTTGGAAAGTCGATGTCCTAGTCTGTCCCAGTTAACAGTTTGTGTCCTATTGAGTGTCTGTTAGACTACAGTAACTAAAGCCAACAAAGAAAAAAACACTTAATAGGGAAGTGAGTATTAGAGGAGAGCTTATAAATTCTGGATTGATTTAAGAAACACATGTTCAGTCTTTGCACAAAAAACTCTTACATTGAGACTTCGCGATTGTCCTCTGAATTGTTTGTACCTGCAGGTAGCTCTGTCTTTTCCTCCTAGGTGAAGAAGAAAGGGAAACTTCAGGAAAACTTGCTTGTCTTGACTATACTCTGTATTTTTCTTAAACCCCAACACCTATGTTTGTTTTTCAATTCTATTTTCAATGTCAGCCTATTTTGCCATCTCTGAGTGGTTTGTTTCTCGTTAATACACTATAGTATGCAGTATTCTTACCTGAAACAAACCACGCACTCAAACAATGAGAGGGAGTCATGTCTATATGCCATATGCCATCTTCTGTCCTGGATTCAATGGTTATCAGTGGGTTGAAGTATTTTTCTCATTGTAGCCAAATTTCTTGTACAGTTTTATGCAACTTTCACATGGATGTTTATGACTTTATCTGCTGCCACAACAAATTTAGAAATTCTGTAGATAGAGATAACTGTGCAATGAGAAATAAAAGTGGAAAAAATGTATTTTTGTCTTCCGTTTTTAAAATCTTTAAAAGTTTTTTTTCATTTGTTTAGGTCTAGTGTCATATTTAAATATGTAATTGCTAGATTGTCCATATTGTAAACAGTGCAGTTTACAATAAAGGCTATAAATTGTGAGGAATTGTGTTGGACATAGCTATTGATTTGCGCACTGTGGAGTCATTTGTGGAAGAATGAAACGTAAAACACACACAACATTAAACTATTAAGTGATGGCAAATTGCTTTAGAATTTTCTAAAATATTTGTGTCTCAACACTAGAGAGCAGCAAATACACATCATTTCTTCAAAATGCAAAATACAGCAGGGCAAGCACAAAGAAAGACTAACAAAAAGACATTTTCTTTTCCATCAATATGAGCTTCACTGTGTCTTGATACAATAGATTTGTTGATTCATTTATGACTGTCTCTTCAATTTCACGATAAAACTAAACACTATAGTTTCCTCAGTTTGAAATCTTATATGATCTAGCCCCTAATGACAATGTTAATGACTTAATGTGTATTCTATTGTGTTATCCTTTTACCACCACTACTTTTCTGGCAAAGCAGCGCAGCGTGATCGAACCAAATAAGAGCTGTGTGATTCCTGTTCAGACAGTTATTGAGCTGCAAACGATTGTTGGTAGACTTAAACTAAAGCAAGAAATGCTTTGACTCTCAATAGACAGTATAGAGTGTGTATTTCTATCCTTTTGTGGTGTCTTAGTGAAGGGAGGAATAAACAAACCAAAGCCCTCACAGCTATTGATTGCTGACTGGAGGGAAAAGGACACTATAATTGAATGTTGCCTTCTCAGAGGCTGACTAATCATCAATCTAACTAGAAGCAGATGTAATAAAGTTCAAACACTAGGTAAACCAGAGCTGTGGTTTCCTGGAATAATAGCAAATTAAGACTCCCTGAAGATCCATACTCAAACTCAATATTTAAAATCCACAATCCAATATAAAAGAAGAAAGAATAAAGTGAAGCTGTTACTCATATATTGAAAATACATGAGTATGACTACCTTGCTTCTTCTAGTTGCTTAACCTCCTTCTCTCTCTGTATCAAATGGCATTTGCTGTCTTTTGCAAGTCATCATCCCATTTTTATATAACAAATAAATCTAAACTATCAGACGAAGTGGTGTCATTTCATTAGGAGGAGTGCATGCCTTTATCATCTGAGATAAGCTTCTGCAGTCATGGTAGGTTGAAGGGGTGAATTAAGAGGAGAGTTGGCGACAGACACAAAGGGAGGAGAGTGGGTGAAGTGAGGGGAAAAAGCATGTTGTTTTGCACAATTTGGCTGAAGCTGTGAAGAGAAGGTCACCGGGGAGAAATGTTTGTTGATGCATACTGTTTGAACTACTGACTGACTGAGGAATAGGGTAAAGGCAATCCAGTGCTGGGTCTGCTGCTAAGCAAATGACACATCGGTGTGACTGTTGCCATGGTGACCGGAACGATGAATGACCCAATGAATGACCCAAACCATGTCTGCACAGCAGGAATCAGTGTGATACCCAAAGAGGATTAAGCTGGTTATGTCTATTTCAGTTTGATGTAATGCACCTCTCAGTTAGAAGTTGAAGATGACATTTTGTTCCTGTTCTTTTTTTTCTATAATATCTCAGAATAAAGATGTATAAAATCAATCTGAGGTTGATATTTCAGAATGTCAACATCTGTTGTGCTCAGTTACAACAGCATCCACCATAAAAATGAAAGTGTTTCCTGGTCAAAAGGTCTAATTTAAATCAGCTTGCTATCATTTTGAATTTCAACTTATTTTTGTGTCATTTATTTTGTTGTTGTTGTTTTGCGCTTTCTTTCCAAAGTCAGCTACTGCTCAATATTTTCTTATGTCTGCTACATGTTATGTCACAGATACATTGCATTATTGTTTATTTGATTAGCTTCAGAAAATATTTCTCTGTTGGACATGTGGATTGTTCCACTATATCCACTGAATTTGCATTGATTTTGTCCGTATGTTTTCAATTCTTCTTCAATGTTTTCAAGTCGTGATGATAACTCGTTAATGGTATACATTTTGAGCATTGTTTTATTTTTCATCTTGGTGTTCAACATGTGTTTTCTTGTCAGTGTCATTTGCTCAGTTGAAAATGCATTTCTTTCTATTATTAAGAGTAGAGACCTGGGACATTCTAGAAGTTCATGAATGCATGAGTTTGTTATGTAACCAGCTAACATCAAATGGAAAAAGAAATTGAATAAAAAGATGTGGTTATCTATGCTCTGATCTCACGAAATGGCTCTTGGTCAGAGAAGGAAAGACACTATATTGAAGTAGTGTCCACCACGTCTCAACACTTTTTAAAAATGATGTCTGCAAGGAGCATTAAAGTAGACACTTAAGACTTTATACTTTAATTCTGTATAATAAAAAAAATGTTCCATATACAATCATTCACTGTTCTATATCATCAAAATCTCTCCATGGTTTTCTTATTCTTGTTCCAATCTTTCGTCGCCACAAATATTAAGAGCCATGCTGTTCCAATTAAGGAATGTTTTCAGTTCACCACTGCTTATTCAGCAATTCACTTGGGATTTTTATTCACTATTTGAAAGTTTTAACTAATTTATCCTGCTTCTATGTATGATGGCAAAGTGAACACTGAACAAACAGACATAAATGTTTTTATCTTCTGAATCCTTGACTAACTAATACTAGTTAAAATAGCTCATACTGCTTTTGAGAAAAGTGACTTCTTGAGAGGGACAATTAGACTATGCAAGGCATGCTGTGTTTCTGCACAAAAGGAATTAATCTTTTATGGATAATTTGAAAGGAGCCAGTCTGCTGCAGTGGTTGTGTGATATACTTTGAATGACATGTTCACCCACAGCTGCATTTAAAAAGTTTGTAAAAGTTTCTGCTACTAATACTATAATAATGATCTGATACATAGATTGTTTTCTTTTCAACAATGAGAGCTTGGAATTAATTAATATGAAGAAAATGCATTCTACAGCACATCGTTCTGCTTTTAAAAAACTCCTTCAAAACCTGATACACACTCAGGTGACACCCGCTCTGCTAGTGGACCATCTGTCAGGCACTTTCATGTTACCTGGTTACCATAGAAAATTAATTAAGGCTGTTCCCTGTCTGCCATAATGTATTTGATCATACCAGGATATCCAATCTTGTGGCTTCACCTCATCAATTATTAACAGTCTCAGTCAAATATTGAGGTTTCCTGTATGGCAACAAGAAACCTGTTTACATTACTGAGGTCAACACGTGGAGAGACATTCTTTGTTGTTGAACACCAGCTCTTTCTATATTGTAGAGTCCTTACAATGCGCCCTCTGTTGTGTTTCAAGTAACCTACACCTAAATCAATTCTCAAATATTTGCACAGCATACCCGGGAGGCTCATAATCCGAAGGTGCAGTCGGAGGGCTCTTTTGGGAGTAATAAGTATCTGTGATCCTTATCAAGACCACACAGGGTCTGGATGAGAGAAGAGCTTATCGCCTCTGCTTTAAACACAACACGTATACGTCAGAACTAAAAGTGCCCTAATAGCTCAAGCAAAATAAAAGTGGATTTAAAGGTTTACTGCTTTGTAAATTTTTAAAATGCTGACAATCTAATCCTAGCATAGACATGGGCCCCTGACCTCTAGATATTTGACTGATGGCCATTTGCAGGATGTCTGCAGGCTGCACCAGCTACTGTTCTCATTGTGGAATCCAGGTAGGCCTATGTCAAAACGGGATGTTAGCGGATAAACATATTTTTACTCTGGGCTATTAGAAATACATTTATCTGTTATGTCTGCTCTGTCCTTTAATGGAATAGTCAGAATGGTACAAGTTCTTTAAAATCTGTACAGCAATGCCGGATTTGGGCCTCATGCAAGAAGTCTGGTTGAGCAAAGCTGCCATTAGCATCACCTTTGCTTTTCTGTGGTTAGTTTTTCTAAATGCACGTAATACAATCCTAACTTTGACCAGCTGATCATGCACTAAATCAAGATACATTTTGGATTAATATAAAACAGGGCATGTTTGAAAGTGGCTCAAGATTCAGAAGTGCAAAGCAACACTTTGTTCTGATAAATGCATGTTTGCAAATGTATATAGTAAAATATAGACCAAGGCTTTTAAAACCTCATCTGAAGACTTAGCTTGATGGGATATTCCTTTTTTATTGTTTTATTGTTGCTGAAAAACCAACATTGTATGAGCATACAATGTTGACATTATGGTGTTTCACCCAATAGAGCATTTTATGGTTTTTTAATTGGGCCCTGATGAGAGTTCATAGTAATCAAATCTGAATGTCCACATATCTGAATTACAACATGATCAAAATCTGACTGCTGCTTAAAATGATTTATCCTAACTGACAGACTGCTGTCCCTCAATGTGGAATTGTAGATACTGGTACATGGTGAATTTTTATACCTCTCCTTTCGGCTTGAATAGCATGCAGGGTTCTAATTAACATGTCTGGCCAGTAAATAGCCCAGTTCCCCCCCAACAGCAGTGATGAAATGACGAGACTGAACAAAAGCAGCTGCTCAGCACAGCATCCACAGCCAGGGAATATTGTCTGGATGGTTAAGGCACTTAAGGAACACAAGCAACTAAATACACAGTTATGTCCTTTTTTCTTGTTCCGTTTTCCTTTTATCATCTAGGATCATTCAGGATAATTCATTCGGCTATTTATCAAATTAAGGTTGTATAGAAAGCAAATTAACAATATTTCATGATGTGTTTTCATTTCCCACCATTTAACCTATGTGTCTTTGGCAGTGTATTCCCACTGCTGGAATTTTCAGACCCAATTGCTTCATTTTGGAATTTTTAAATGACTGCCTGGCAGCCGCTGGCGTTTCCAAGGCAACAGTGCGATTGGGGAAAGGGGATTTGAATGGTCGCTGTCAGTGAGGAAAATTGAGTGCTGCCACAGAGATACATTTTACCCTGTGAGAGTTTGTTAAATGTGGGTCAATCATAAGCGTCTATTAAGTCTTCACCCCAGCAAGGCGTATTAATTTGCATGT